TGTTTAAACAACATGAGCTTGAATAATCTGTTATACACTTAATAAATATTGAAGTGCACACTTGTATCTGCTTTTTCATACCTTATTTTTATTCAAATTTCAGTATTGATACCGTATAACGTATGTATATCTACCTGTATGGATTGCAAATCATCCATCATTTATTCAACAAATATTTGTTGAATATCTATTGATTGATACACAGATAGATTAATCATTCTATCATTCATCATTAAGTCAACAAATATTTATTGAGTACCTATTGATTCTCAAGTACTATGTATATACTAGAGAACAAATGAGAATAAATTATTCCTGTCCTTGTAGGGCTTATATTCAAGTGAGTGAGACAAATAAATGAAATACATAAATAGAATAAATATATAGTTTGTTAAATAATAAGGAGGGGATAAGGGGACAAGGAAGCCAAGAAAGGGGACAAAAAGTTTGAAAGGGCAGAATGACGTGTCCATGAGGGAGAGAGCAAACCATGCGGCTTAACTCGGGGAAGCCTATTCGAGACCTTGGGAGCAATGATAAGAGCAAAGGCCCCGGGTTGGGATTGAACCAGGGGACCAGTGCGTGTGGAGCAGAGTGAGCTAACGGAGAGTGGTATGGGATGTGGGAGGCTGCTGGGCCGGGATGCACTGGCCTTACAAGTTACAGGAAGGATTTTGACTTTTCTTGGAGAGAGATTGGAAACGGTTGGAAATTTTGGAGCCGAGGAGAGTTTTGGCCTGAGCTCTGTTGACTCAGGACCACTATGGCTGCCGTGCTGCCAATGGATTGTGGGGGTTAGGGCAGAAGTAGAGAGGCTACGTGGGACTCCCAAGGTAAAATATAATGGTAGCTTGGTATTGGGGACCAGGGGAGGGATGGTGAATTCTGGGTATATTAAATGTGGACTAGATTTACAGAACTGCAGGGCACCTGTTTCTTGGATATTGAAATTCTAGTTAACATATTATAATCATTCCTAAGTTATGTATTTTAGCTGTGTGATGGTACTTAAATTTTAACTACTCATTCCTTTACATGTCATCTACTGATTTTTTTCTGTGGTGTTTGCATTTTTTCTAACATCATAATGCTTTTAATATGAAGTCTTAAAGACATCTATATTTGTTTTAAAAAGATATCTTTGTTATGTGTTAAATTTGTAATCTTGCAGTCCATACTAAATGTACTTTTCATTTTGGTCAAATTAAGTAGTAAATAGGACATCTTCACATACTGCCCTCATATCTCAGTTAGCAATGATTCTTGAAATGTAGAACCTGAAGTTAGACTTCTAGGGAAACTTTTTAAAAAATTTTTCTCCTGAAATGAGTATAAAAGTGATCTGCAGGTTTAAAGGAGAAAAGCAAGATCAATTTTTAATTTGTCACTTCATCAGCTTCGTTTTTTCGATCTCATCTTGTCATCAGTTTGAAAATTCAAGAATATTTCCTAAACTGACATTTTTATTTCATCACACCCTACCTCTTTCCAGAAAAGTGTTTAGGCAACTCACGAAAGTGTTACAAGATAGCTTTGAGGATTTTTTCCCCCTACAGCAGCCTGGTGTTTCTGGTCACCACACAGGTGTGTGGAATGGGGCTCGTTTGGTTCTTGCCAGCCACACTCCAGCACCCCAGTGATAAGTGCTGATTTCGTGGCCAGGAGGAGCTCTGGTTTTCCACACCATCTCAGTCTGTGCTTCAAGTTTTGCATGTTCCATACAGAAAATACAGAAATTCGAATAGAAATCATATTACCTAGAAATGTCTGGTTTTATAAAATTTTGTTCTCTTTCTCAGTGTATATATGGCATAGAAATTCATAGGCATGTATTTTATATGTATATATACAAAGAATAGTCTACCGTAAAAACTTTACTACTTTTAAACAGATATTGTGAACTTTTCCCTATTAAATAGTATTCTTTAACAGCATTTTCAAGAATATGAAAATTTTCTATAATTTTGTAATATATCATAGATAGTCAGATTCCTCTTTCACAGTATTTAAGTTGGTTCCATTATTTTATTATTGGAAACTGCTCTACGGTAAATATTGTGCCTTAATTTTTATTTGTATATATTTTCAGTTGAGGCTATTTCTAACTATATTTCTATGGATATGGATGTGTCATGGGTATAAAATTATGGGAAGTTAGAAGTTGAAGAGCTCAAAGTTTCTTATTTCATAGTTAAGAAATTGAAGTAATTGGGATGTGTAATGTCCACCACCGGTTAGTGGCAGAGCCAATGACAGTTAAGAGATTGGGCAAAATGTGCTCAGTTAAAGCCCTGACACATAGCAATAGCCAGTGTTTACTGAGTACATATTAAGTGCCAGACCCTGTTGTCAGCACTTTATATTAGTATTCATTATTTTAAACTTTACCACAACTATGTAAGCTAAGTTCTTTTATTAACCCTGTCCTATTGTCAAAAAAACTGAAGTTTTGAAATGTTAAGTTCTTCGCCCAGAGTCACAAAGCTCACGGCAGAGCCGGGATGTAACCCCGAGCTGTCTGGCTGCAGAGCCCGGGCTGCAGAGCCCAAGCAGCCCCCCGGGAGCGAGGCCAGCTCAGCCTCGGAGTGTCGTGTCGTTAGAGGCCACTTGTTTCTGCTGCACAGCTCTCTAATCCAGGGGTGGCTTTGGTTCCAAGACTGTTTGGATTTTAGAGAGATAACTTAGTGCAGGTACTGTATTTTAGGTAGCAGTCCTGTTGGGGTTTGGAGCAGCACCTCATAAGCATGTTTGTTTTTATAATAAGTGAGATTAAAAATCAGAATAACAGAGGACATGCTGCCAAGGGGGTGTGGAAGCCTCTGGCTTTTAGTATTGCAGGCAAGGGGTTGTGGACCTGCATGAAACTCTGAGAAGAAGAGAACCGGGCACTTAGCACACATTCCACAGGTGCTGGGGAATACCCAGCACTCCTAGAGCACTTACCTTCAGATACATCCGTGCTGACGCGTGGGAAACTGGTGAATCGTGTACTGTGAGTGCGCTTTTCTCACAACATGACGTCAGCATGAGAGAGGGCTTACGTGACGGCCTCTGTGTCCCTTCCCGGCCCTAAAAGTGGGCACGTCTAGTGGGCACGTCCAGCTCGTGCTCCTGTCCTGAGCGTTTGTACTCCCAGTTGTGCAACATGTAATTTGAGGCCAGAATAGCTGAACTTGTATTTTCAGCCTCTCAGAGATCTAAGTGAGACAGTGTTTCAAGTTTTCTTTGCTCACGACTACAGCCCCCGTTCCTTATTTTTCCATCTTTACTGAGAAATAATTGACATGTAACATTGAGTAATATTAAGGCGTACAAAATGATGCTTTGATACATGGAGAGTGTGAAATGATTACCACAATGAAGTTAACACCTCCATCGCCTCATGTAATTACCTCTTTTGTGTGTGTGGTGAGAACTCTTAAGATCTCTCTTAACAACTTGGAAGTGTGTAACACAGCCCTGTTAACTATGGTCACCATGCTAGACATTAGAGTTCCCAGGGCTGACTGATGTCAGTAACTGGAAGTCTGTGTCCTTTGGTCCCCTGCCACTCAGCCCCAGCAGCCACTATTCTACAGTCTGTTCCTATGAGTTCAACTTTGCTAGATTCTACATGTGAGATCATACAATATTTGTATTTCTTAAATGTATATGGCTTATTTCAAATAGCATAATGCTCTTTAGCTTCATCACAAAAGCAAGATTTCCTGCCTTGTTATGGATGAATAATATTAAATAAATAACATTTTCTTTTTCCATCGATCCATTGATGGATATTTAAGTTGTTTCTGTGTCTTATACAGTCCCCTTTTTAAAAGCATGAACCCTCTAGGAGAATAATTTAACTAAACCCCTCATTTCTGCAGATATGAGCAGATATGACTAAAGACATTGTATTTGAAATTGAGAAATTTTCTTTTTTCCCACCATTTTAATCAATGAAAAGCTATAATCACAGTATTACAACCATTTAGGACAATCACTAAGAAATGTTTTAGGGTCTGTCATATTATAATAGACACTGATTTTAATTATATGGTCATATTACTTTTATTGCCATTTGATCCACAAATAAATTTATTAAATGTCCCTCATATGTTCATTTGCTATTGAGATTTTTAAAAATTTGGCACTTGAGTTTGAACCCATCCTTTATCCTTGGAAATACCCCTTTGAGCTGTTGAGGGAGTGCAGTGGGCAGTTTGTCCTCTCCTCCTGCATATTAGAGTCGCCTGTGTCGTCTCCTCGTCTGCGGCGGCCGTTGTCCCCAGCCCTTCAGCAACGAGCTGGAAAGGCCCTCCGAGGTTACCCAGTCAAACTGAAGCAGGGAAATAGGAACAGAGGTGTAATCTGTTTGTCAAGGATGAAAAGGAGGGCTTATTTATTTGTATTTGACTTTATTTTGATCCAAAACTGAAATACAAAATAGAATAATAGCTGTTTTGTTTTTGTTGTTGTCGGAAAGGAATGTGTAAAGTGTACGTTTGTAGAGCTGTGTGTGCGCGCGGGTGAGAGAGAGTGTGAGTGAGAGCGCACGAGCGCGCCGGGCGCTGTGGTTCACTGTGTAAGAATGTGTGGTGTGAAAATTAATATCATTTTCGATTTATTTCTATTGCTTGATCTCACAAAACAGATTTGTGTTGGGATTTGGCATTCAGTATTTAATAAGCTCTAGTTATTTCATCTTGTACATTTTGGTCAATTTCTTAGTGATAGTACCTGTGGAGTTTAAATTCCAGGGCAGAAAACTTGAAAAGTAGGATGTGATATATAACCATCCACATACAGTGTTCACAAATACAGTTATTTGTTTGGTACTTGCTCATTAATGCCACTTTTTCAACTGACAATATTATTTGATTTAGGATCTTAGATTTTGAACTGCATGGAAAATCATTGATAATTTTGGTATTTATTTTTTTACAGAGAGGAAAAAGGAAAATGGATGGCTTGAAAACGTATTACTTGTTGTATTTTAAAAATTCTATTTCCTTTTCTAGGTTGCTGTAGTAAAACTAAAAAATGCAGACAAAGTATTTGCCATGAAAATATTGAATAAATGGGAAATGCTGAAAAGAGCAGAGGTAAGATTCTAATTATTGGGATATCTAATATTTGAGAAATATTTTCAGAGAAACTATAAAGTGATAAAGAGCCAATAGATTCTTAGAGTATCATTTAATAACATTTTAACTATGATGACATATTTTAAGGCCTAAGAGAAAATTCAGTAATTCAGTTGTGATATGGTTATGATAAAAGTTATAATTTATGGTTCTAATTTAATATTGTCTGAAAACCAAATGGAAACTCTTGTAATGTGGGGCTTACACATTTCTGTTAAAAGGACGTGTGGGAAATAGTTTCTTTTATATGAAGAAATTTAGTAATGATTGATTTTCAATTTGTCATAACTTGTTTATATCATTCTGTACTTATCCATATTCTGCTCCAAGCAAAAGGCAGCAAGAGCTTTGAATATGCCCTCTAAGAATTCTGTTTATTGCTGGTCATGCAGTTAAATTTGCTTTGTTTTATGTTATTAAAAATGGTAGTAAAATCTGCTCTTGCAAGAATTGTCAGCATGTTCACTGTTGGCGCTGGATTTGAGGGGAGGATTGGTTGGAGTGATGCCGAAACCCCTTAGCAGCTGGTGCGGTGTGGTCAGAACTGACGTTGCACAGGGATGTGGAGTGGGGTTCTGTGCTGATTGCAGTGAGCAGCGGGGCGGGCAGGGCACTCCGGGCCCCAGGGAAGCAGGGATTTCAGTACCTGGACTTGTAGGAGGGTCATGCTGCTGCTAATAGCATTAGCCCTGGCGGTTGGCAACATTTATAAGAGGATAATGAGAGGTGAACCCTTAGAAATCTTTCTGTATGTACCAGTATCTGTAGCAACCTAGAAAAGAACAGACGTACCGGGAAAACAAAACACATCCCCATGTGTTTTGATGGATATGGGGGTAGCAAAAGTCAGTGCTTCAGTAAGCCCTTCTTTTGCGAAATTTGAAAAATATAACAAATACAGAGAAGAAACTCATCACTTGAATCCCATCACCTAGAATTAGTTAATAAATTTTTGGCAAGTTTTTGCATCCGGTTTTTTGTCCTATGCATCTACTGGAAAAAAACTGCACAAGTGAAATGCAGATACATTCTCTATAAAATGAATAATAGCATATGACAGGTAAAGCTAAAGTGCCCTTTGAGCACAGCCCCCCCAGGCCCAGCCCCTGTCCGACTCCCACGGGAGATTACTGTGGGGTAACACTGTGTGTAGGAGGGATCTGGGTGCGTTTATGGCACTCGCTGGCATAAGTGCCAGTGCCACTGCGTTCAGTGACTTCAGACTTTACTTTTGGACGTCCCACAAGACTGAATTGTCTTGTTGGTGCCACTTGATTTTCCAGGTAGTAAGCACTGCGGTTGATTTTAATGTGCAGTATATTTATTGGGGCGTTCCTTTGAAAGTGACACCTATAGGAGGGAAAAGAGGTAAAACATGGTATGTCCGGGAGAAGTGAAGCTGTCCCAGCAGGCTCCGCTGATAGAACAGGGAGCTGCGGAGCAGAAATGGTCCTTCGGGGTTGTCCTGCAGCGGGCCAATGCCCGACCTTTATCGCGCACCCACATTATCAGTCGCTGGGCACAGGCCCCTCCCGGAGGACGTGGCCTTGGACTAGCGGGCTCTCTGCCGCCCCGAGGCATACCACCCTGCGGGGGCTCAACAGTGTCGCCTGCCGCGGGAGCAACACGTCCAACTAAGAAATAGTAAATACGTATGTCGTAATCTTTTCACACAAGTCACAACTGTAGTCCGTTTAATGTTTCAGAGTTAGAACTTTAAAAAAATTGAGTTAAACTTTGTATTTCTTTTTTATGAAGTCGGATATACTGGGGGAACATTGTGAAAAAAGATAACTGGGTTAACTTTCATTATTGATTGGAAAAACTGGCAAAAGTGAAGATAAAGCAGGAGATAATTGAAAATTAAATATTGTTTTATTGAATTAAACAGCATTAATATATTCTGCTTCTGGGGCAAGATGGGAGGGCAGTCCTTCTCCCTGTCCCTTCCATTGAATACAGCTAAAGACGCTGCACGTTAAGTAGAAACCAAGCAGGAGGAGGCTCTGAGAGGCTGAGGGGATAAGGCGGACCAGCCGGGGACCCTGGGGCCCTGCAGAACAGCACTTGCTCCTGCCGCCTCAGAAGCGTGTGCAATGCAGAATAAACACACAAGGGACTATGAAATGATGTTAATCAGGGATGTTGCTGTTGGCTGCCCTGAGGCACTCCAGTTTGTGGATACTGAGGTCGAAGTGATTTAAAAATAATTTTTACACAAAGGGATTTTCATGTTGTGCTGACTCTAGAATATTTCTACTTCTTCAAATAAACTCCTCAGTAGAGGAACTCCTGGCTTTGGGGGGCAGATAGACATTAAACTTTGGTAGCCGTTGCCAAATCGTCTTCTAAAAACGTTGGGTCAGTATATCTTTGCACTCAATAGTGTGTAGACATGTTTGTTGCCTCACTCATTTGCCAATTGTGGATGTTATCAAGTGAGTTCTCTTTCTTGAATTATGTGAAAAAAATTCTTGCTGAAAAATAAGTTAAAAAATGACACATCTCATGTTTGATTTAGCCATCAAATATATATTGGAGATTTAAAAGTAGATCGATGTCTTGGTGTGTAAGAACTGATGTTGGAATTCTTGCATTTTGAACTTTAAAATTCCACTTGCTTATCGTTTTTTAAATGAAAAAATTTGGCTTTTCCTCCTCAAATATTAGAATAATTCAGTTATTATTTGAAAGAATTCTTCTGTGATAATATTTTATTGGTAATAGGAGTTTTTATTACTAATAAATGAAAAGCCACAGCATATATGGTCCTGAGTGGATTTTCTTGTTGTAACACGATTTCCAAGCATTCAGGACATTTTGATGTGCTGTGTAGGAGTGTGTAAGGGTGTCGCCCCGAGGAACGTGTGCCTGTGGGTCCTGGGAGGCGAATCATGTGACAGTTTTGTAGAATTATTTTTCTTTATATCTTGTCTGTATTAACGTCTGTTTCAGCATGGGTATTCCTATTGCTATTTCTCTTTAACCAATAGCCCATTAAGGATAAAATTTAAACAATACATAACTGAATATTAAAAATATAAAACTTCAAAACAGTGAAAACCATCACTGTTGCAAGCAGAATATTTGCTTGAATAGAAACTGAGTGATGCTAGAATCTGCAGTTACATGATCCCCAGTAACCCCTCCTACATGTCTGTTGCGTTCTTAGAGGCATAAATATTCTGTTTTGAAAGGGGGATATCTAAAAAAGATTCAGTTTTTTTAAAAAAGAGAATTGAATTTTGAGACATTCCAATAAGGAAAAGTTTATTAGAGAAAATAGGCAAAAGGGAATGAACAATTCAAAGAGAAAGCTCAGATGTTCGGTGAGCATATATAAAGTTACTTATCTGCACCTGTAGTTATGAATAAGTTCATTAAAAGAACAATGATATTATTTTACACCCATGATATTGACACTTAAAAGTCTAATAATGCCAAGTACAGTTGAGGATGTGGGGAAAAGGGTAGACTTCATACACTAATACACTAAGGTAAGCGTAGTATCAATAATTGGTATGTCACTTAGAGAAGAAAATTGGCTGCATATGGTACAGTTGGAAAGCATTTCTACTTTTAAGGGTAAATTGTAGAGAAACTCTTGTATGTTTGTACAAATATATTCATTGCAACATTGTAATAACACAAAGTTGGAAATAGATTGGAGTAGGGAGGCTACAACTTGTATTTTCTTAAAAAGATTACAAGTAAATGTGGCAAAATGTTGATATTTATATTATCTCAGTGGTAGGTTGGATCATGCTTATTGAATGATTCTGTGTGTTTCCTGATTTTTTAAAATTCAAACAGTATTTTAAGTGTACTATTCTAGTTGTCTAATTCTGAGGGTGCTCTAAAACTTGTCTTGTTGAAACTCATGCAATATTGGATGTATTCTTTTTCCAGAACAGAAAGTGTAGTAAACATATTAAGCACTTGTTTCCATAATATATTTCCTAGTTTTACATAAAGTGTCCGCTATCTAAATTTTTTCTTTTCCTTTTCAGACAGCATGTTTTCGTGAAGAAAGAGATGTGTTAGTGAATGGAGACAATAAATGGATTACAACTTTGCACTACGCTTTCCAGGATGACAATAACTTAGTAAGAATCATTTTTTCCCACTTTTACTAAGAAATAATTGACATACATCACTGAATAAGTTTAAGGCCTATAGCATGATGGTTTGATTTACATTTATTATGGAATGATTACCACAACAAGTTCAGCTAACACCATCTTCTTATATAAATACAGTAAAAAAGAAGAGAAAGAAGAAAAGAAAAAGGCAAAAAAAATTCTCCATGTGTTGAGAACGCTTAGGACTTACTCTCTTAACAAGTTTCCTGCCTATCATAGAGCAGCGTTAGCTGTAGTCATCATGCCGTGCGTTGCATCCTTAGTACTTGCATACCTTACCGAACGAACGTACCTATTGACCACCTTCCCTCAGTTCCCTCCCTCCGACTTCTCCCCTCTGGCAACCGTAAGTTGGAGCTCCTTTTCTACAAGTTGTTTGAATAAGAGTAAAGCTAGTGTGATTAGAGTGTAGCGGTGAAGGAGAAAGAGATAGGAAAGGAGGCTTCCAGAGTGTGGATCATGCTGAGGAATTCGGATTTTTTCCTAATTTCAAAGTGGGTTTTAAGGAGAGTGTGATAAAACTTTATGTCTGCCGCAGAACATCCTGGCAGCGGTGTGGAGGCTGGATGTCAGGGGCCCGGCTGGAGGAGGAGGCAGCTGGGAGACTTGCGCCACATTCCAGGGACAGGCCAGGAGGGCTTGAAGGAAGGTGACAGTAGCTTAGGAGGGTTGCAGATCAAGGGGGCGGTTTCGGTCCTTTTTAGGACGTTAAATAATTAGGATTTTTGTGTTTGAGTGGAAGTCAGTGGAGGAGAGGAATCAAAATGATTCCCAGTTTTCCAGAGTCCGACTTGTGGGTTTAGTGGTTAGCACTTGGTGAACTGAGTTGGAGAATAGAAGAGAAAGAGAACATTTAGAGTCGGGGGAAGATTATTAATTAGGTATGTGTTAAGTTTGAATTATCCTGTGATCCATTTAGTGGGTTAGATATATGTCTGGTGCTTCTGAGGGTGCATAGCACTGCATATCTGGGAGTTCTTTCAGATTTCAGGAAACTCTGGCACACAGCTCGAATTTGGCTCACCACCCATTTTTGTACAGCCTGCAGGCTAAGAATTGTTTTTGTATTCTTAAATAGTTGAAAAAAAATTAAAAGAATATTTCATGCATGTGAATATTATGTGATATTCAGATTTCAGTGGTCATAAGTTTTATTGGAACACAGCCATGGCCATTGGTTTATGCATTGTCTGTGGCTGCTTTTACGCTGCAAGGGCCGAACTGACCAGTCGTGACGCACTGGCACTGTGACAGAGAGGGAAACACTGTGTGTGTTACCATCATTGCTTTGCACTGCTGCCCAGCAGATGACAAATTGCAGTGACAGTTATAACTTGATAGCACTGAAAGTGCTATATATATTGCTATACTGTGACGTTTATTATTTTCGATAATAGTGTATATGCATTATGGCACATGAAGGGACGGAGAGAAAAATGGAATTCAAATATCATGCCTTTAAGACACAATAGAGTGTGGATTATTTTATTAATGAATCAAATGCAGCTACACCAATGCTGTAGTAACAGGATACAGTAAATGTGTACAGTGCCACCCTGAGCACTCACCGCAACATCACTAACTCACAGGAAAGCAGCAGTCAGTTAAGTTAGAGTTTAAAACAGTATCTTATCACAGTGGAATTCCTTCATAAAAGTGAAAAACGAAGCGAGGCCGTGACTGTAGGAAGTTCCACAAGTGGCTCTCGAGTTAGGCGGGCAAGGAAGCCGTCCACCAATGCTGAGATCGTTAAATCGGGTTTGTGACTGCAGCAGCCCAAGGAATGTGTCCACAGAAAACTAACTTGTTTAAGGCTATTAGCCTTTTGGCAAGAACTCCAAAAGTTGAGGAAATTGGGAGCAACATCAGTGGTTGATTATAAAATCAAGGAAATGATTTTGAGTGGTTTTCTTTGACTCTTGAGTTGACAGATGTTACTGATTCTGCTCAGTTCTTGTTATTTGAAGAGTCGATGTTGAGTTTGAAGTAAATGAAGAATTAGCCTATATGAGTAGTTTGTGTGGTACAATTATAGTCAATAGTATTTTCAAAAAAGTTCAGAAAGCACTAATTTGGCACAAACTGAATTGGAATCTGCTAAGATTGTATTGCAATTGAGAGTGAGGAAAATAGGTGTGAATCAGAAAGAGGCTTAATTGAGCATATATGCAACTCATTAAATATTAGGTGCTTAAAGCCTATGGATATTCATTGTCTTACTAAACAGCAGGTGGTTTGCAGCAAATATTTGAACCTTTCATGTGTTATTGAATCAGTAGTGTCAACATTGAACTTCATTCAGTCTTGTGGAAACAAGTGTTACCATTTTCATGAATTTTTGTCAGAAATCAAAGCTAACATCCTGACTTGCTATTCAATGCAGCTATTTAGTGGTTTTGTAGTGGTAACATTTTATTGCTCTATATTGAACAAAGAGCCAAGATTGAAATACTTTTGAACAGAAAACCCCATCCTCAACCATTATTGTGAAATACTGAATTGCTTTGGAAATTAGCTTTTCTTGTGGACTTGGTATATTTTTAAAATAAATTTAACCTAAATTACAAGGCAAAACAGCATTTACATGCAAAACTTATACTATGGTGAATTCATTTTGACAACTAACACTGTTTGAATCACACATAATGTCAAACTACTGTATCTACTTCCCTTGTTGTCAAATGTAAAAAGAATTGAGATCTTCATTCTCACACTGATTTGCAACAGATAGGTCTTCTGAGGTCAAACTATAGTTCTAGCATTAATTTTGGGACTTGGTGCAAGAGAAAAAGAAATGTCCGTAGTTCAAAATCGAGTTAACCAGGCATTTGAGAACTTCCACCTAACCATCAGTTAGAAGTGATTGATCTGCAATGTAATGGCATGCTTAAACACAAATAACAAGAGAAAAATCTGATAGCGTTCTATAAATGCTTTCCAAGTGAGAAATATGTTCAATTAAAATTATATGTTCAGGAATTAACATTGTGGTATATGGTAGTATCTATCTTTGTAAATAGACATTTTCACAGATGAAACACATAAATCTTATTGCAGTTGCAGATCAGCATTTACAGAGAAATATTTACAAAGGGTTTTGATGATAGGAAACACCAGCTTTGAGCCCCAATTAAGCAATCTGTTGTATTCCCCTCTTCCCCACAAAAGAACCACATTTTTCTCATTAGTAGACTGGTACTACAAAAATTATACTCAATTATTATTATTATTATATTGAACTCTACCAGTGACAATGTGTGGGAATTTGTTTTCTCTCTTATTATATAGGTACCTACATAAAAATGTGTGGGAGATTTGTTTTCTCTCTTACTACGTAAATATCCTCGATTCTGCCCCTTGGCCCACTGAGCCCTGAGCCCAGAATGGCTGGGGCAGGAGCAGGGTCCACTGTCCAAGAGCAAAGCTCCTTTGATATGGGAGCCTTTCATCTCTTTACCTCCTGGCGTTTGTCTGTTTGGTGCCCCAGAAATCGTGGTGGGCACCTAGTAAATGTATATTGAAGGAATGCATTATGTGTCTGACTTTCTGAGTATAAATATTAGATTCCAATTTTAATAGCAGACTTGTGTGTTTTTTTATTTGAAAAGCTTCTGTGTTTGCTACTCCAAGTACTTCCTTTTAATGTAAGAGATGTGGGTCTCTTCTTCACCATCTGTTGTCATTTCTAGCAACATGTTTATGTTAATAAAATTTAATTATATTAAATTAATTTGTTCCAATCTTCATGATAAAGTTTGTTAAACATTAGGCCTAGTATATGTAGCATGGAAACCATAGACTGATATTTGAAATACATTGTTTCTTTAATTTTCAAAGATTTAAAATATGAAATTTTTTTTAACAAAATTGACCGTGTTTAGAACTGGAATGTATGCTAATAAGGATGTGGATGTTTCTCAAGACTCTTTAAGATAAAAAGATTATGACATTGTCTGTACTCTTAACAACCTAGAGATAATCTCTAGGGAAATTTTGGTGTATATTTCTGTCTCTTCTTTTTGTTGCATAGACAAGCTCTGAAGGAAAACTATTGTTTTTATTTACATTACACACAGTACTGCTACTTCCCTTCTGACATTAAGTGTGCGGGTTTCCCACACAGGAAGCAATTCTGTGACACCAGCAGGGTGTCCCACAATTTAACTCACTTCTGAGACTGCCTGCGGAGAGTGTCAGTGCTACAGGTTAAGGGTTCTGTCTTACAAGACTGCACCTCCAGTCCCCAGTCACAGGTCCAGGTTGTTACCTGTGCTCCTGCCCTGCAGGCTGTGGATCAGAGGCTCCCCCTGTGGGTTCGGTGAATGAGCTAGAGCATCGCACAGGACTCTGGTGGAAGGGGTGTGTAGGTTCGAGGAAAGGGACACGGAGCCTCCCAGCCTCCCAGAGAGCGCACCGCCCCCTCCCTCCTCCACGTGCGGGTCCCCCCGGAGCTCTCTGAGCTGTCCTTTGGGTTTCTCTGAAGGCTCCCTCACACGGCCAGGCTTGATTAAACCCTGGGCTGACCACAGCGGACTCGCTCTGGCCTCTTCCTTCAGTGGGCAGGGCTGAAAGTTTCAGCTCTGGCATCTGGGTTGATTCCCCTGGTAGCTAGCTCCCATCCTAGGTTAACCAGGAGTTTTCCAGAAGTTGCCTCATAACATCAACTCTGATCTGATGGAAGGGGGCTGGTTATCAATAACAAAAGAGACCTTTAATCTTGTCACTTAGGAAATTCTAAGGGTTTTCAGGAGATCTGGGCTCTGTGCCCATCTATTTTTTTTTCTTATTATAAATTATATTATCAGACACACACATTGTAGTCCATATGTAAAATCAGTTGGCTTCTGTTTATGTGTACCTTAGAAAAGTCCATTCCAATATTGATACTCAATCAGAAATTGGAAGAGAACCATATGTATGGTCAGAATTTCTGTATTCTATATTATAGTGGTTTTCAAATGCTTGTCCAAGTGCTGGTTATACTAAAGTTGTTACTAGTCCAAGATGAAATAAGGAAAATGTAGTGATGGTGAAGATGAATTTATTCAACATAAAGGACTGTCCTATATTGAGTTTTTAAAATCCGCTTTGGAGAATTAAAATGTTCATTCTTCTATGAAACGTTTTTAAAATGGTGGTCTGTTGTGGATGATGATGATGATGATATTGTTACTTTGGAAAATACAGCAACAAAACAATAGGAATCCTAGATTGTTTCCTGCCCCAATTTTTAAAAACTTGTTCCACTGCTTTATGAAATTTACAAGTTTTGTAATAACTGCTGATTATAATCTTATGTATCTTCTTGTTAATGAACAAAATCTTTTATCCAGTGCCATTTGACCTTGTATTACATTAAATATGTTATTTTTTACCCTTTTTTATTTATTGAGTACATTTTATTGTTTCATTCCCAGTATCTGGTTATGGATTATTATGTTGGCGGGGATTTGCTTACTCTGCTCAGCAAATTTGAAGATAGATTGCCCGAAGATATGGCTCGATTTTACTTGGCTGAGATGGTGATAGCAATTGATTCTGTTCATCAGCTGCATTATGTGCACAGGTAAGATGTTCTTTTGTTGTGATATCTAGAAGCAGAGATCTATTTATACCAAATTTATTAATTATGGTCTTCGACACACTTATCATCAACCAAAATACTTATTCTAAGAGGGTTTTCATTGTTTTGCTTTGTTGTTGTTGTTACTGTCATTTGTCAGCATTAAATAATTGATGTTCCTCTTCATACATACATGTATATCTGTTTTTACTCCAATCAGCATTTCTACAGGATCCTTCTAAGAAAACACTCTTATTGAAATTTACATGTAATTTCCTTCTAAAAAATATGTATTAGCCAATTTCCTTATAGTTGAATTATATATTGATATTAACCAGAATTCTAGGCCATAACTGATAGGTTCATTTCCTAAATAAGACCATATTATGTATGTTTCTTAGGAAAATACTTTTAAAAACTGTGTAAATGTCAAAATGAATGTTCTTGTAGGAAAGTGAAAGTTTTGATGTTCATGGAAAAATTCTTTCTTTGTAAACTGTTTGACAGGTACAATGATTTAGTATATTTAAAAATTTCCTTACAATGTGTGTTTTACTCTATGCAGTTTATGATGCACTAAAAATAAAAAGATGGGCTTATTTACAAAATAATTTTTGTACAGGATTGTTCTTATGTGCATTGCCACACATAAAATCTTTGTATGTAAACAGCCCATAATAATTTATGTGTACTAAAAATTGTTTAATGTATTGGATTGTTTAAAAGTCAGTTTCACAAAAGGCAAGAAAGTGGAAATCATCCCACAATTATAGGTGGACTAATTGTTCAAATGAGGTAATCTTTCGCTTGTGTAAAATGTGGGAAAGAGTGAGGAGATGCTAAGGAGAAGTACGTAAAGAGATACTGTCGAGTTAGAAAGAACTGGAGCCGTTTTCTAAGACAGAGGTGTGTGAACTTGAGCATGCATCAGAATCTCACGGAGGGCTTGTTAAAACCCAGTTTGTTGGGTCAACTCCGGAGTTTCTGAGTCAGTAGGTTGGATGGGGCTTGGGAATCCCCAAGGGGTCCCTATTGGATGTACAACTGATACCACTTGTCCCATGTGTTACCTCGCTCCTAAATCACAATGTTAGACTGCTCGGTGGCCAAAGCCCCCAGACAACAAAGACATCTTGTTACGCGTGACAGTCCAGGAGCCGAGGGATCCCCTCCCAGCAGCTGAGAGCAAAGGCCAGACCCCCTCTCTGGGTAAGCTTAGTTCCTCACTGCACAGACACCCACTGGCCTTCACAGGGTTTTCTCACAGCAAAGTCATCACGCCTGTCTGGAAAGTCTGCATTTAATACAGCGTTTATGTGACAGGCACGGCAATAATAGTGAGCATGTTTGTTGCTCGGAGGAGGCAGCTTGAACTATTTGTTTCAGGAGTTGCGCTTTCTGGAATATGAAATTGGATTTATTAGAGAAAAGTGGTTAAGTATAAATGTTTGAACCAAGCTGATTTCAATGAAATCAGGAGTGCATAGATAGCATAACAGTACATAAATGCATTTTAAAGTAATTTCATATTGATATATCATACATTTGAGAATTATTTGAAGAAACTTCAGAAGAACTTAGTTTTATTATATTCACACTTTCTGTTTCCGGCATAATATCTATAGTAATCATGCTCTGATACTGATAGACTGGTGAAGTAAGTAATAAAGTAAAAGTGACCCACAGAATATTGTCCTTTCAATACAGTCATTGTTTTGGTATGCTTTTTTGTTCTTTATGCTATGAATGTCTCATTATAAACTAATTTTGACTAAGGGTTTTAAAACAGTACTGCTTCCTTTTAAGTCAGATGTCATTTGCTTTTGTTTAGGGCCATTGGAAATTACTGATTTTAGAAACTTTAATGATAATTGGTGTGATATATATTCAAGTTAGGAAGAAACTTGAATAATGAATTTACATTGATGATGTAGAGATTTTACCTCTTCTAAACATTTCTCTCTGTGTTTTCATTGATTGTGAAGGTTGGAATTCATGGTTTGCCTGAATTTCCAGTCCACTCCCTTTATTGATGATACTAGGTATCTGGTTGGCTGGCTGCCACCTTACTCGCAAGATGATGCTGGCTTAGAGTGGTTCTGAATGCCAGATGGTATTCTGCTTCTTATATCAGAAAATGGAGTTTGCTGGCCTTTTGTTCTGTTTATCCATGGCCACGTGACATGTGTTTTCCTGGAGCAGCACAGAGACCGGGTGTGGAACACGAGGCGTTTAGGCGGGAGTTGGTGGAGCGGGAGGAGGCGGAGGAAGAAGTCAGACCGTGCTGCCTCTCTCGGAGCTCTGGGGAGTTTGCGGCCTGCGGGAGCCGTTGCCCATGTGGGCAGAATGGCCGAGCCTCCCTGTTCCTGTATCAGTCAGAGTGTGGGGGCTGCCGGGGGGGACAGGACGTGGGTGCAGGGGCTTCTCTGCAGCGTGGAAGGAGCTGACCGCTGGGAGCTGCCGGCTGACACTGGGGGCAAAGCCCACTGTTGAAGGGGAAGGCAGCACAGCTCTGGATCTGCCACAGGCCCTGGAATACAGTGACTAATTCAAGACAGTCACTTTTTGCTCACGAGTCTGCAGTTTGGGCAGGACTAGGCAGGGACTGCTGTCTCTCTGCTATTTAGCATGAGTTGTAGTGAATCATCGCAAGTTCTAAGGTTGACTCTCAGACGGCTCATAGACGGGAGGTGGAGGAGAGTAAAGGGGGACCTTGGTGGTGACTTCACTGGGGTGGTGAACACAATGCAGTGTTCGGGCGATGTGTTGTGGAGTCGTGCTCCTGCAACCTGTATAATTTTGTTACCCAGTGTCACCCCAATAAATGTAATAAAAAGGAAAAAAAGATGGCCCACTCCCGTAGGGTGGCTCCGCAGCCTGCCAGGGCTGTAGGCCTGGGGTCTTTGTCCTTTCACGTGGGCCCTGCAGGGCTGCTGGAGCCTCCACGTGCAGTTCTCTCGGTCCTGAGAGCAAGCTGTCAGTGTGTGTGCGCCCGCGTCACCTCTTCCCGCCCAGTTTACCCTGGGGGCCTCTCTCCAGCCTGCCTCCAGCGAGGGCGTTCTCCTGAAGAGAAGAGGAGCGTTTCACGGAGACGACGGCTGTTGGTCAGCAGACGCTCCCACCCCCCGACATTTGTGGGGGTCTGCACCTGCGACCTGTTTCACTCTGCCACGTTTCAGAAACCTAGAGGGCAAGGCGACCAGGACTCCTTCTGCGTAGTTAGGTCGTACTTTGTGCCGTTCAAGTCGTACTTTGTGTCCTGTCTCCCCGACCTTTTGCTTTTGGCCTCTGTGAAATTAGATTTACATGAACATGGTCGATGATCTGAAGGAAAAGGGAAACTGCAAAAGGTCAAGCTGCAGTCTTTGGCTAAAAAAGGAGGAAGGGACATGTTTTCCTTGTTTGAGGCGATAAAATGTATGGACTTTTAAAAATTTTTGGCCTTCCTTGGGCCCAGTAATTTAGGTCATATTTAGCATCAGCAGGATGGAAAAGTCATTTCCTCCTCCCTGTGAGTCCTTCAAGCTGCACCTCATATCAGTATTATACTTTGTTCCCCAAAGTAAAGCATATATATGTCAAACCAGCAGATGACTAGGGGGCTGATTCATATCCTCCTGAGGTCTCATTCAGAATGGGAGGAGAGTTTTCATCTGCTCATAGAGGGACCATTTACGGGGCAGAGAGGCTCCTTTTTCAGCCGTGGAACACACTGGGTGAGACCCGGAGTGAGTCAGCTGGCAGCGAACTATGTATATGAGATGTATCATTGTATTTCCTGTTGTGCAAGCAGAAGCCAATTAGTGTTATCATTGTAGCATTATTGTGTTTATCTATGATCTTGATATACTTTAATTAACTGTTTTGCCTGAAAATATTGACTGCAGATGATCCTAGTGGCTTAGTCAAAATATTTTCATATTCTTGGATTAAGTGACTCAGATGTTATACAAATGTATTTTTGGTTTTTAAGTAATTTTAATCAAACAATACTGCATATAAGGTAAAATAAAACTCAACTAGTATAAAAAGATTACTTTGAAAAATAGTCCTCTCTCCACACCTCGGAAGTCTGCCTTCCAGTGGCGGGCACATTTAACTCCTTTAAACTATTTTTTTTCTGTTACTTAACCCCTTATCTCTAATATCCTGCTATCTAATGCTGACATTTTCTCATTATTAATTTTAGACATATATTTGCATTTTAGAATTGATTATTTTTAATCAAGAAGAGTTGTTGAATTTAGTAAATACTTTTTCAATAAAACAGGGCTAGGTAGATGCTTCCTTAATGGGCTGTGTGTGTGTGTATCTCATACCTCAGAAGCCAGCGTCACGCTTACCAGGTGACATCACTAAAGTCAGGACACCACAGAGATGTCCACTGTCACCAGTACTATTTTACGTTGTACTGGAGATGCTAGCCAAACAATTAGGCAAGAGAAAAAACTTAGAAGTATGAAAAGAGTAAACAATGGTGGAACAACTATAACTGAACAACAATAAAAAAAGATCACAATTTTATTTGTGAATTATTCCACAATAAAGCTGGAAAAAGATAACATAAATTACAAGGCTATATAACCAATTACAAATTATAAGATTACACTAGTATTAAATAGATTTTTTAAAATAAGAAAGACAGTATAGACAATGTGAGAAAACAAGTCCACATGCCGGAAGAAGAGAATTGTAAAACATGTAACTGAGTTGGAATAAACAGAATTCTAGATTAACCAAAACAACACCAAAAAAAATACAATACATACAGAGTATGAAAAAATGGGAAGATATTAACTCTCTTTTTACAGAACAGGAATCTAAGATGACCATTAATAATATAAAAAAGACTCCCAGCATTACTAGCAACCCTGCTAGAAAAGCTAAAATGCACATCTTTCATCTCAGCAGTTGTGCTTTGCATGTATAGCCTGGTGAAATGTTCACATAGAGCACCAGGAGACAGTTACAAAAATACTCATCTCAGCATTTTGTGTAGTAGCAACATAACAATCTAAAACAGTCTAAACTCGTTGGAAACAATCTAAATTTACAAGCAGGAGGATTGAGAAATAAATTTGGTATATGAAATTATTCCATATAGAAATTAAAATTAATGAACTAGAGTAAAATGTGTCAACATGGATAAAGTTGAACTGTAATATTAGAATAAAATTAAGTTGCAAAACACCACACACAGTTTGGTATCAGTTATAAAGTTTAAAGACATTCGGAAAAATACTTAGTCTTATGATTATATCTATATATACTAGTAATAAAATATACGCATGGACATGGTCTGGATTTGGCCCATGGGTCATTATTTGCCAGCCTGTGAGGTATGACCCACAGAAATCACTTTAGTTATTAAGGGAGTACTATTATTTTCTTCTCAGTACAGGTGGGAAAATTGAGGTTTAGATGCCTCATTCAGGTTAAATGAAAATCCCTGAACCATACTCCCATTGCAATATAATTTTTCTTTTCTTTTTTTTTAATATATGGAATGCTTACAGAAGATTCTTTTTCTTCCTCTAAAAGTAGAATGAATTGTGAGGGCCTAATTTCATTTTTCACAACTATAATCTTTAGAGTATGTTTAGAAACTCTGTGTTGCTGGGTGTTCTTTACAAAATGATTTTATGTATGATTTTCTCAAGGTTTGCAACCTGTTTCATTGTTCAAATGGAGAAACAAATACAAAAACTGGTATAATTTAGTTTATTAGTTAGATTTGGATACCTTACAAGCCACTGACTTAACATCAATATATAGTTTTAAATAATATAGAATATTATTAAGACGCTGTTTTCCAAATTATCTTTCTGAAGCAACTTATTTGTTTTGTCTTGACCCGCAGTAATTGAGAATTTATTTATCTGCATGTACAGTCAGAGTCTAGAAAGTGTATTCTTCCCTGGTCAATTTCATGGGTGAAATAGAGATTAGTACGGTTCGTGGAGATCAGATGGGTTCACGTAACTCTGGCCCTTCTCTGTACGCAGAAAGCAGGACTACCACAGCCATGTCGGAGTATGTGCGAATTTAAAGGTGGGATGGTAAGATTATTAACCTGAGTGAGAGTCGTCACAGGACTGTTTATCTCCAGGAGGGTACTGAAATGACCTGCATTTAAAAGTTTTAATACAAACCAGCGCCAGGGTTTGAATCCATAAAGTAGTCAAATAGATGTTCCTAGAGTATTAATTTTAAAAGAAGTTAGATTTTTAGATAACAAGGTTATCTTACCAAGTATCCGATTATGTTTATTTTTTAAACTAAAAATGGAATGTATTTTTTTCAGAGACATCAAACCTGACAATATATTGATGGATATGAATGGACATATTCGGTTAGCAGATTTTGGTTCTTGTCTAAAACTGATGGAAGATGGAACTGTAAGTAAAGATAAACTTCATCTTACCCACAGACATTTTTCTTGCTACTTGTCTTCTTTATCTGTTTAGAAGCTATTTATATTATCCATCCATCCATCCATCCATCCATTGATTGTTCTATGCTTTACCTTCTTCCACAAAGGTATTTATACATACTTATTCATAATAGGTCTTGTCTGTAAAATCATATGCCATTTTAACTGCTTATTTTAATGATCTGAAGATGGATACATTATGCCTTTTACGAGACCCTTGTTTGTTCCTTCTTTAGCAGAACTGCTTATTATTGTACTTGAGCTGTATTTTCATTTCCAGATGGATAGAGAAAATAAATCTACATAGAAAAAGAAAATGCAACATCTTTGCTTTTATTTTATTGTTTTAATCTCCTCCCCCCTCCCCCCAGTTGTCTGATTTTCTTGAGGGACTGTGTTCATAAAATGAACGCTTTTTATCGGGAAGTCCTCCAGGTTGACTTAGTTTCATATTACCCTTAGCTTTAGTTCTGCTAACTCTAGGCCTTTCCGTTGTTTTCTTTCACTTACTTAAAAGTTTATATGCCCCAATTTTATTCTCCAGTTTGTTTTGGTTTTTGTTTTTACTTCAATTTCTTGGCTGTATATCAGAAGTCCAAATATATATCATTTTAATTGGCAGAAATGTTTTAGAGATCATGTTAGCAAAATACATTCTAAAGACAATGAAAATGTCATATTATTCTGGACTAGTAATGTGGCTTTTGAAAATTTATCCTAAGGAGGTAACTTTTTAAAAAAGATTATATGACTTCTGCCTCTGGCCATGATGCAGGGAGTAATTGGTACCAAATTGTCCTCTCGCTATAAACAACAATAAAATGGGACACAGTATTTGAGACAACTGTTTCAGGCAGTGGACGGCAGGCAGCACCAGGCTGTTGTTTCTGAGAGAATTTGTGACGTACACCCAACAGTGTCCCAGAACTGGGACAGTTGGCTGTTTCTGATGCAGAAAGCTAAGAGCATAGGAGTCCTACGGAACCGAGGAGAAAGGGTCAGCGTTGCGTTGCCTGGGCACCTGGAGTCTGCAGGGCCTGATGTGGGGGGGGCGGGGGTTGTGTTAACCGGTGAAATAGCCGAATCCCAAGGAATTGTAGGATCTGTAGGGTTTGAAGGTGGCTCTCCAAATACAGGGACTGGAGTCAGAGACGAACCCGTAGGCATCTAATTTAAAACTATGCCATTTTAATCACTGCACCTTTGTAAGAAGTCATTTTCTGTGGGAGATGGTGTTCCATTAGAATTCTCTTTCTTCTTTAAAATTGTCTTGGCTATTCTTGGCCATATGTTTTTCCATACAATTGTGAGGATTATATTATTGGTTTATAAACATACATATACACAGATACAAACACCTTTTCACAAACCCAAGCTTGTAGTCTCGCCTTGAATTTAGAGATTTATTTCTGAGACACTTACATTTATAACATTGACTTTTCCCTTCCATGAATATAGTGTTTCCATTGCTTTAGGTTTTCTTTTATGTCTGTTAGTGAAGTTTTTAAACTGTATTCACTATAAATCCATTACATTTAAATAATGTTAGATTTGTTCTTAGGCACATTGTGGATTTTTTTTTGCGTGTGTCAGGGTGATGCTATATAAATAACTTTTTAAAATTTGCAGTTTGAAAAAATATAAATGAAATATGCAGTTTGATAGCTTGTTGCAGTTGACTAGGACCAGAATTTATATATTTATCTTGAAACTATCAAGCTTGCTAAATATCTTTATTAGTTCGCAATAATTTGTAGATTCTTCTAAATTTTCCATATAGAAAATTATATAACCTGCAAATAATCGCCAGCTTTGGGTTTTGTTCTTCCCAGTCTTTATCTGTTCTATTTTTTTTCTCTGGAGCAGTTAGTGACCTTCAGCACAATGTTAAACAGGTGTGGTAACAGGGAGCTTTTTTTTGCCTTGTCCCTGACTTTAATGGTATTTTTTTTCCTGTAGTTTCAAATTAAGGATGATGTTTGCTGCTGTAAGCTTTTGGTATATATTCTTTATTAGATTAAGGAAATGTCTGTTTCTGATTACTGAGAGTTCAATGTTAGGGTTGTTATTGTTGTAATCAAATGATTTTTCTGCATCTACTAATGAATAATATAGATGTCCAAGTTAAATTATTCATTCTTTGCATCAACATAACTTAATCTTGACATCATATTGATATATCTGAACAAATTGCTAAATTGACTCTGATAAAATTTATATTAGGTTGTTACTTGAGATTAAAAATATTAGATTATCTGAGATTAATCATATTTGATATTACAGATAATTGTTCTTGTCTGATTTTTGTTTTCAGGTTATTTTAGCTTTCTAAAATGAACAGGGGAGCCATATCTCTTCCCCTCACCTGTTTTTGGCTTTAGAAGAGTGTATGTATAGTACCAGGGGTGTTATCTGTTTCTTACATAATTGGTACAACTCACTTTTAAATCACCCTTTTCTTGGTGAGGTTTTGTTTTCTTTTATTTTTTGTTTTCCAGGTAGATTTATACTATTGATTCAAATTTTTTAATGGTTATAGGTCTCTTTGGTTTTCTATTTCTTCCTGAGTCAGTTTTGGTAAGTTATATATATATTTTTGAACATTGCCTATTGTCAATGAGTTGTCAGTTTTATTGGTATAAAGTTCAGATTATACTCCCTCCTAGTTTTAAAAGCTATCACATGTGTAGTTTCCCTTTCTTCATTCCTAATGTTTGTGCTTTTCTTTTCCTTCATAATTTTGATATAGAACATTTTATTATTTTTCATTTCTAAATATTTTCCAACTTTAGTAAGAACTCTTCTGTGGACCATTAATTACTTAGCTGTATGACTTTTAATATCCAAAATATTGTATTTGCTTATCTATTTGGTTATTTATTTATAATTTTATTTTAATGGAGAATGGGTCTATTTGACACCAGCTTTCTGGCATTTGTTAAGATTTGCTCTTTGATTTTGTAACTGCCCCATTTTTATAAGTTTTACATGTGTGTTGAAAAGAAAACTTTTTTTTCTAACCTTTGGGTGCAAGTTTCTATCTGTATATGTCTATTAAGATTAAAATTGTTCAAATTTTTAGTATTCTTACCAGTTTCATTTCTTTCTGATGTACTATCTTTTATTTTAAAATCCTTATTATGATGTTAAATGGTTAATTTTTCTACCTGTAATCATCAATACTTTTACAACTCTTTTTTAGCCATGTTGTTATATATTATTCAGATTTGCTATTCTGGGGTGTGTTCTTATATAATTAACAAATTTTAAAAATCTTAATGATTTGGCTTTAGAATCTCTTGGACTCAAGATATTAATATAGCTCCCTTAACTTTACTTTGTTTAACATCTGCCTGGTGTATCTTTTCTGTCCCTTTCCTTTTAACATTCCAGTGTCCTCATGTTTAGGCATTCTTTAAAACAGATTATTGATGATTTTTGTAAAATAATGTTCATCTTGGTTTTATTTGTCATGCAGTATGGCAGTGCTGTTTTTTAATAGCTGAACTTAATCCATTTATGAATTTCATTTTGTTGATGTGTTCATAGATATTTCTAGTATCCTGTCTTGTGCTATTTGTTACAGGTTTTGCTTGACGTTTGCATATATGCTTGTTGTTTTTTTCTTCTTTCCTGCCTTCTATTGGATTGCTCAACTTTAGTTTTCTTTCTTTCTTTTTTTTTTTTTGTTACTTCTTTGGAAATGATACCTTCTATTTCAAATAATTTAATGTTTATCTTAAAATTTTTTACATTTATAGTTGACGTGAAACCTAGAATTAGTTTTTCTACCATATTCCTAATCAAAACAAGAAACTTAGTGTATTTTATACCATATACAAAAATTAACTCAAGTGGATCCAGGACCTAAATGTAAGAACTGAAACTATAAAACTCTTGGAAGAAAACATAGGGGAAAGATTTTGACATTGGACTTGGCAATAACACCACACAACAGGTAACAAAAGAAACAATAGATAAATTGGACAGCATCACCAGTAAGAATTTCTGTGCATCGAAGGTCACAGTCATCTTAGTGAGAAGATAACCTATGGAATAGGAGGAAATAGTTGCAAATCATATGTCTGATAAGAGTTTTATATCCAAAATATGTAAATAGCTCCTACAGCTCAATAACAATTCAAAATGCGCAAAGAACTTGAATAGATATTTCTCCTAAAAAGGTATACAAATGGCCAACAAGCTCATGAAAAGATGTTCAACATCACTAATCATCATGGAAATGCAAATCAAAACCACAGTGAGATACTACCTCACACCCATTAAGATGGCTACTATAAAAAAGAACAGAAAGTAACAAGTGCTGACAAAGATGTAGACAAATTGGAACTCTGTACACTGTTGATGGGAATGTAAAATTCTGTAACCTCTCTGGAAACAGTATGTCAGTTCTTCAAAAAATTAAAAATAGAATTACCACATGATCCACGAATTTCACTTCCGGGCATGTGCTCCACAAAATTGAAAGGAAGGACTTGGAAAGGTACTTGTACACGCCAATGTTCAGTAGCAGCGTCATTTACAACAGCCAAGGGATATAAGCAAATCAGGTGCCCATTAACAGACAAATGGATAAATCAAATGTATGGAGATACATTGGAATATTATCCAGCCTTAAAAGGAAGGAAATTCCTACATGCTACTGCATGGATAAACCTTAAAAACATTATGCTAAGTGGTTAAGCCAGACACTAAAGGACAAACACTGTGTGATTTCCCTTGTACGAGCTCCCTAGAGCAGTCAAATCCAGGCGCAGCGCAATGGTGGTGGCCAGGGCCTGCGGGGGTGGGGGGGTGGGGGGGGGAACTGCCGTTCAGCGGGGAGGGTTTCGGTTTTGGCTTCACTCAGTCTTTGTGGGAAAATGTCTTTATTTAATCCTCATACCCAAATCATAATTTAGGTAGGTAGGAAATATAGTTTTGGTAATTATTTTGTCTCATTACTTTGAAGAAATAATTCCATTTTCTTCTGACTGCTGTTAGTATTCACAATTGCTGTCTGTCTAATGGCCATTCCTTGGTGATCCCTTTAATGTTTTGAATCTCTTTGCTGTTGGTACTCTGTGGTTTCTAACTTCAATGTGCATAGAAGTGTATCTGGTTTTATTTACCTTTTCACATCTTTCACATATTTATATGTGTTTTATTTCAGTGACTACTTTTTAAAAAAAATCCTGGGACTTCTATTTGATTTGATTTTGTTCCATCTCTTTGTTCTTATGCTTTTAATTTTTTTAATGTCTAATAAATTTAAGCATTTATTTCATCAAGTGGAACTGTTACTTGTTAGGAGCCTAATTGTATTGTTTGTCCGGATTTCTGACTTCTGCTCACAATGAAATGTTTACTTGTATCGTTCATATTCTTCTATTGTGAGCTCATCTTCGATGGGCTTTTCTGTGTGAGAAGTCCATGTGGCACGTGTTCTCCAGAGCAGTGTTGGATTTGTTATGCCAGGCTTTCTGGGGCACCCAACAGGGGGCCAGTGTTTTTGCCAGTTTCTTGGCGTGAGAACTTCTGGATCACAGAAGCTCCGTGACTTAAAATCCCAGATGGTGGGACTGTGTGACCTCAAGTTGTGGGTTTCTAGAGGAGGAACCTTTCTTCACGTCCCCGCTGCAATTACGGTAGACAAAAGGCCTTGTCTTTCTCTGCTGAGGGGCAGAGTTTGGAAATTCAGCTTTTTGTCTATAGAACACCGTCTAGGGTACAGGTTACATGGGGCAACCTCACTCCAAACCTTACGTGAGCTCAGGGCACGTCCTCTGTCCTCATGTTAAAACCCACGTTCCTAGAAAAGGAAAACTAACAACTCCCTAGCCCCACTCCCACTTGAATGTTCACCACCCTGGTTCTCAGTCACTTCTTGATTCCTGGCCCTGAAGAGTTGCTATTTTTTAAAAGTTCATTTATATGTTTATAAAAAGGATTGTTATATTTTATCTAGTATTTTTAAGAGTTTGGAACAGACGAGTTTTCAAATTACTTTATCTCAGTATTGCCAAAGAGGAAGTCTGTTCTAGTGATTATTAAGAATGGTAATTTAGTCTGGAAAATTCAGAATATTAACCATTATTCTATCTTGAGAATGTTCATTTTTTGATCTGTTCTTTTAAAACCATATTAAGAATCAGTTTTCTTTTACTTTGGAGTATCGTACAAAATTCGTTCCCAGGATCTCTTTTAGCTGTCATTTATATCCAAGTTGCCATAATTACGTGCCCTGATTTTTCTCTATTGGGCCTTTATTTTTTAAAGGATGTATTTTTCCTTTTTAATAATTTTTTAAATTAATAAGCAGTTTGCAGGACTTTGTTAATCATTTATTTCCTCAGGTTTCCATTAGGGAATTTAAAAATAGTCTCCAGGTTGCTCATAAGTATTAGCCATAATTTTTTTTGGCTAAAAAACTTAGTCATAAGTTTTTTCAGGGTTTCCCCCCGCCATAAGTAATTGTAAAATTTTCACAGTTCCAGTTTTTTGTACGTACATGTTAGATGATCAGTAACAGTGTTCTAACAATACCTGGTGGAACAAAGGCAGATAGATACAGGTATATATTAATCAATTATGAATTACTTTTGATGCCAAAAATACCAGTTTTGAAAAAAGAATGTTCGAAACTCAATATTCAATTTTCTGGTTGTGGTGTTTAAATCATATTGTTACCCTAAAAGTGTCACTTAAGTAATGGCTATAATAAAGGTTCCATAATGTTATGAAATCTGGAGAACTTTTAGTGTGGAGATTATGTAAAATTTATATGGACAAGGAGGCTAAATTCAGATAATGACAAAGTTGTAGTTATGAGATACTGTTTATTGTATAAGAAAATGTAAATATTTTAAATTTAAAATTACTTGTTTCTAATATATTATAGTAGATTACTAAAACTATGAACTCCTTCAGGTCCAGTCCTCAGTGGCTGTTGGAACCCCAGATTATATCTCTCCTGAAATCCTTCAAGCCATGGAAGACGGAAAAGGCAGATACGGCCCCGAGTGCGACTGGTGGTCTTTGGGGGTCTGCATGTATGAGATGCTTTACGGAGAGACACCGTTTTATGCAGAATCTCTGGTGGAGACGTATGGAAAAATCATGAATCACAAAGTTAGTGTGCTTTCCTGTTTTTCAAATTAATGGGGTAAATAACATATAATAAATTTAACGTGATATTTAAAAAGAAAATATTTTTCTGAAAACAATGAATAATCTAATTTCTACCCTATCAGGGGATATGAGAGACATGAATAATCAAAGTCCATCATTATACATAAAATTACTAGTTCTAACCTTCCGCTATATTTTATTAGAGAAGGTAATAAGTAGGACATTAAATGGCTTCTAATAGAATAACAAAGATCATAAGCAGATAGTTTTAAAATCATTACTACTACAATATAATCATGACTAGAATACATTTAAAAAATTCTCAGCCTTAGCAATAATAAACAAAATGCAAATCAAAATAAGAATGAGATATTTTCCCCCCATCAAACTGATAAAGTTGAGAAGAATAATAGTATTCCTTACTGTAAATAATCCAGTGAGATGGACATTATTGATAGGAATACAAATTGATGTAACCTTTCCATCAGGGAGTTTATAAGTCTGCATCTGGAGTCTTTAAAAAATAGTCGGAACTCTTGACTGAGCAGCTTCAGCTGTAGGAATCTTCCCTAAGGAAACTGTCAGTAGAACAAAGATGCATATACCAGAATACCTGTGCCAGTAGTATGATCACAAAATATTGGGAACAATCCAGATGCACAAGAGGAATGATTTAATAAAACTTTAATCTACTAAGTACCAAGTGAAATGGAAATAGATTGTTCATAAGGAAAGGACGGTTTTGATTGCTTGGTCTCAGAAAATGATGAGCAATTGTAAGAATCTGGAATGTGACTAGGAGTATCCCATAATGGTGTAACAGTCTAGTCTTTTTAATTTGTTCTAGTGGCACAGTTTGATTAGTTGCTTCACACATATATAAAATTGGTTTTATGGAATTGATGCTCTTCTTCCTGGTTGCAAGGGTGATCTGCTAAATAGTGATGAAGAGTTGAAAGAAAGTTAATAGCCACAACATTGTAGAATATGGATAGTATTTCCATATACTACATGTAAAGTATTTCTGAGGGAAGTCATTATACTATAACATGATTGTTAAGAGCACAGATTCTGGAGTCAGACAGCTCAGTTCACATCCCAGCTCTACCATTTACTAGTGTGTGTCCTGAGCGAATCGCTGAACTCTGTGCCCTGTTTCCTCTTCTATAAAATAAGGATAATAGTAGTACCTACCTTAGATGATTGCTGTGAGGGCTAACTGAGTAAAACACTTCTAATAATCTAAAGTACATATTACATTCTTCAAAAATGTTTTTGTTTTTAATCATTAGTATGTGGCTTATATGAACCATCAGTACTCTTGGAATATTCAGGCAAATTCTATTTTTAATGAATTCTTTTGATTCTGATAGCAGTTTAAGGTGTTTTAGCATTTAACTGATTCTCTCTATAGTGCATGTATGACTAAGTCAAATGTGAATTTAAAAGTTTTTTAGGAAGACATTCTTTCCTCATACATTCCTGCATTTCCTTCAGTATCAGTACTGTGTATCAGTATAAACTTATTAGATATTTTTAAAATAAAATGTATTTTCAAGAAAATAAATGTTAACATGCTTAGTAAGTTAATTACTGATTTCTATTTTGTTTCTATTCTTCTCTGTGTAGGAAAGGTTTCAGTTTCCGGCTCAAGTGACTGATGTGTCTGAAAATGCTAAGGATCTTATTCGAAGGCTCATTTGTAGCAGAGAACATCGACTTGGTCAAAATGGAATAGAAGACTTTAAGAAACACCCCTTTTTCAGTGGAATTGACTGGGATAATATTCGAAACTGTGAAGCACCTTATATTCCAGAAGTTAGTAGCCCAACAGATACATCGAATTTTGATGTGGATGACGATTGTTTAAAGAATACTGTGAGTATGATGTTGTGAAGAAGTCCTGTCCCTGTTCTTTTTAACATGATTGCAAAGAAATGTTAAGGGCCACCTTATCAACGGTCAAACAGTTACATCTTCTGGTATTAACTTTCCCACAAATTCAAGAAGTTACGAGGGTGTACTGAGGTGAACATAGTTATTCATGACTAGGAGCAAAATGAAAATTCCAAGGTTTAGCAGTTAGGTTTCCTGAAAAGTGAGCTTCATGATGGCAGAGTGAAGAGGTTGGCAAATCTCTCCTTAAAAATCACCATGAAGTGTGCAATGTCTGCAGACAGTAGCATCCTTGGTAGTGTACGCAGCCTATTGCTAGTATGGGTTGCCTTAAGGGACCTTGGATACAGCCCTTAAAAAAAAAAAATTAAAAAAAAAAATCACCATGAAACTGGACAAAATTGTCAAAAACAACTATTTCAGGACTTGGCCAGTCAATCCAGGGTAAATAAATTGAGAAACACCTATTCATGAAAAACCACTGAACTTTGGTTAAAAACAGCCCCCCGCCCCCTTCCCTCAGCTCGGGTGGGGCTGTGGAGCTGCTAGCCTGGAGCTGCTTGTAACCCAAAGCTTCGCTGCCAGAAGCCAGAGGGTTTGGGGAGCTGAGCATGCAGCACGCCTGCCGGGAAGTGAGCGGGCGAAGGAAACCTGCGGCGCAACGAGCCTACTGTGTAGCCCCATGTGAGGCGGGCGGCAGACCTGCAGGTGAGCCACGTGCTTGTGGCCAGCATAGTTCGTCAACGTCTGCCCCAAACCATTAGGTTGTATCAAATTAGAATTTAGAAAAATAAAAACAAAATTCTTTTTTCCTTTTTAGCCTTAATTTGAATTTTCATTTTAATTCAATTATTTTATTTATTATGGTTTTAATTCTGCATTAAGAATTTTAATACTAATTTTCTATCATTTTTCACTGTTTGGGAAGTAGAGAGGAGAAAAATAAGCACCATATGATTTCACTTATGTGTGGAATCTAATGAGCAAAATAAACTAACCAACAAAATAGAAACAGACTCATAGACACAGAGAACAGGCTGACAGCTGTCAGAGGGGAGGGGGTTGGGGGGCGGGGTGGAAAAGGTGAAGGGAATAAACAAAAAACAACAATAAAAAACCCCAAAACAAAATACTGGTAGACACAGACACTACGACGACGGTCAGCCGAGGGAAGGGAGGTGGGGAGGTGGAAGAGGGTGGAGAGGGGCGGGACGGTGAGGGAGGGAGGCCCGGCAGGGGCAGCAGACACACAAGGCAGCGTACAGATGAGGTATTAGAGAATCGTGCACCTGAAACCCGTATAATTTTATTAACCAGTGTCACCCCAATAAAGTCAATAAAAATTTAAAAAAGAACCTCTCTTACACTTTCCTCTCTGAACCTTGCAAAAAAGAATTAAATAGGCTTTCCTCATCGGTTTTTTATTACAGGGTTATATTTACTGCTAACAGAAATTATGAGTCATTCCAAATTAAATACACAGTACAGTCAATTCTTATCATTTATGGTAGTTATATTTAATAAAGTTGCCGAGAACACTGTTATTAGTGAATATTGAACCATTGCCCCTAGGGGGAAATAAGTTTAGGTTCCTGTGAGCTTGTGGTCAAGACATTTTTATCTACCGATCAATGCATAACCTTTTTTTATGTGTGTTTCTGTTTAAAGCACCTCATTTAATAGACGCTGTTGATTAATTAACGTTGAACTCACAGCCAGCAGCACTGCACATCATGCCTGATTAAGCTTATCTACCTCCCCCCCTTTTTTGGGAAGACATATCAGAGCCCTCTTGCTTAGGAACAAAAGATGGCATTTTAGCACTATGCTTGGAGGCCACTTAAACAGCAAAATCACCCATAAAAAGCATGAAAATGTGAAAAACATGGTATACTCAGACCTTGAAAAGAGCACTTGTTTATGGTGTGAAAGCCGAAACAAGAAGGCAGCGTGTCCCCTTGTCCCCTTCAGTCCCAGCTGGGAACGTGTGTAGGACAACTTGGATTTCTCTTTGCTCTGCACTTGTCTCCTAAAGGAATGTGTTACAAATAAATTTTAGTGACCAGGCCAATTTGCAAATATGGACTATGTGAAAAATGACTGTATTCAATATAGTCAGACTTTTCATTTCTGCTTTCATTTTATTAGAATTTTACAATAGCGATGATCATGGACTAAATATATCACCAAACAGCTGTACCAAACTTATTAGTGTTTCTAAACTGAGCAGTCACATATTTCCTATTGACAGTTAATATTTAAGCCCAACCTACAGGCCATAGTTACTGATTCCTTACCCGGTGTTTTTACCACCTGCAGGAAACGATGCCCCCACCAACACACACGGCATTTTCTGGCCACCACCTGCCATTTGTTGGTTTTACCTATACCAGTAGCTGGTAAGTTTCAAATGTTAACATAATTTGGACAATTTAAAGAAAATTAAAATGAATTGTAGTTTAAAAAGATATCATGTATGAGAGAACTTTTTAAATCAATTAAAAAATTAGGGCAAAGCTACCACTGGGATAAGTTGGACATTTCAAAATGAATAGAACATAAAATAAATCTCAACTCATTTTGGAGGAGAAAGAATAGGACAACTAGCTCAGAATCTACCTTAGCAATGGGGCCGGCACTAGAAGAGTTCTCTTGCTATCGAATACATACTCTCTAGGTGTCAAGACTCAGAACCTCCAACTCATTAACCTTAACCTCCTTTTCGCTGACCGCCATTCCACTCATCTCCTCTCTTTCCTCCTCGCCCAGTTAAAACCCCCTCGGCAGTAATTATCATTACTCCTTGTCAGTGCCCCTCAGTCCTTGAGTATCTCATTTTGTTCCACTGGTTGTAAGTTGACATTCATTATTACAATTCAGTCTTCTGCCTGTACCTGTGCCGTTCAGTGTCTAGAAAAAAATGTGACCATTCTTACTGGTCTCACTTTCAGGTCGTGATTAGCAGCCTCAGGTTCCTTGCACCGCCTGACAAATGCACGCTGTCAGCCTAGTGTGTTTGCCCTCTTCCAGCCTCCCAGGCACCTAGTTCACATACATGCTTTCCTTGGAAGCCTCGGTCCTCCTCACCCTCGCCTGACTCCCTTCCTCTCTCCCCGAGAGGCTGAAGCAAACAGCAGGCACCTTCCGCAGCTCCAGTCGCCGCATCGACCGCCCTGCGTACCTCCGGGCCCACGTACTCTTCTTGTTATGCGTGAACTGTGTGCATTGCTCACTGTTACCTCATCAGTTTTTCCTTCTCTGTGTCATTTGCATAATCAGATCATTCACATCAGCCCACAGACATGCAGTTTTTTTCTCTCCTCTGAAAGTGTAAAATCTCTTAATCCCACTTTCTTCACGTGCTACCAGCCATTTCTCTGCTGCACAGTATAGCAAAATTACTTCCAACTGTCATCTGTGCTCTGTCTTTCTCACTCGACACCACGCCAGGCAAGCCCGTGCCCTGTCCCTTCACGCAGCCTGCTTCTGTCACTCTCACCACCGACCTCCGCGTTGCTAAGTTTATTGATCATTTCTTAGTCTCACTTATTTGCCTGGTTTCATCTTACTTGTCACGGCTCTTTCCCATTAAAGCGTGCTCTTCTCTCAGCTTCCAGCGCGCCCTCCGGCTTTCCCCCCACCCTCCTGCCCACCCCTCCTCGGCCCCATGTCTGCTGCCTCCCCGTGTCCCTCGTCCCACGGCTCGGTCTGCGGGTCTCCGTTCACACTCTGGTGCTCCCTCGGATGCTTACTGATGGCCCCTAACGTGCATCTCCAGCTGAGACCTCCCGCCTCTCCTACTCAGAATCTCCCTTCGTTGCTTGCTTCGAATGCTCGTGGCTTTGATCCCTGTTTCCTGTGAGCCTGTCCGAGTGAGCCTGCCGAAAGTTAAGTCAGATCACGTCATTCCCCTGCTTAGGACCAACCCTGTGGCCTCCACCCCGGTGACTGTGGATCTTAACTCCAAACCAAAGTTCTTATAAGGCCCCCCATGACTGGCTCACTTTATTTGTCTCACTGTTCTGTCCACTGCTGCTCTTCCGCTCGCTCACTCCACGCCAGCCACACAGGTCTTTCTGGCCCATGAACGTGCCAGACGTGCTCTTGGTTCAGGCTTTTGCGCCTCTGTTCCGTCTGCCTGGACTGCTTCTCCCCAGTTTTCTCAGAGTCCCCTCTCTCTGGACTTTAGTCGGAGCTACTTTCTGAGTGATGACTTTCCTGACTTTATCTACATTTTTATTTCCTCCTTCCCAATACTTTATTTCCCCCTTTCCTGCTTTTGTTCTCTCTTTAACATTTAACAGTATCTAATGTACTGAATATTTTCCTTATCTTGTTTATTTTTGTCTCCATCACTGGAAAATAAACCCCACATTGGGCACGTTTTGTTTTGCTCACTGCTGAGGGTCCAGTACTTCAAATATTTTTATTTAAATTGTATTGCATTAAAGAAAGCATTTCACTTTTGAATTCTGAATTCCAGGAAGGAGGACCGTGATGGTGCTTTTGACCACCAATTCACTGAGATGGTTGGTTACATTGTTTTAAACTGCCAGTAACCCCGCAGCAAACTTTGTTTTATGATTTTTGGTTATTGATATAAATACAGGGTAATTTGGGCAATTTAAGTTTTCTTATTAAAAAAGGCTTCTAAAAAAATAGTTTGTACTGATTTTGAAAAGTGTTTTACAATCATTCTAAATGGCTACCTGTAACTAGATATTCAAATCCATGCTTTAAATGAACCGTTTCAAAAGGTTACCTTTTCTTTAAACTTTTTGCTTCAGTGTAAACCCACATTTTTTTCCTTTGTTTCAGTGTTCTTTCTGATCGAAGCTGTTTAAGAGTTACAGCTGGACCTGCTTCACTGGATCTTGATGCTAACGTTCAAAGGACTCTAGATAACAACTTAGCAACTGAAGCTTATGAAAGGAGAATTAAACGCCTTGAACAGGAAAAGCTTGAACTTAGTAGAAAACTTCAAGGTAAATATATTTAAAAGATAATATGCTTCTTTTTGAATTGGACTCAATGTTAGGAGCTGTCTAAGTGGTTGCTTTATCCTAAAATTTTTTTGTTAAGTAGAGAAAAATCAAGTTATAGAAATTTATGCAGAATACAGTATAGAATGTACGTAAACTTACAAAATTAATAGGAAACAAAATGGCATTTGTTTCCCACAGGTGTTTGTGTATACATGTACAAATACACACACAGGCATGGACAAAAGTAGGCTAAATTACCAGCCATCATTACCTAAAAGATAAATCATTAGTATGGACACAAAGCAATAAGAGGAAGTTAAGTAATACAAATAAATAATGCAATAATAAATAAATAATAATACAAGGGAAAACTCTGTTTTGCGCACTCACAACTGTAAACCTACTTTTGACCATCTCTGTATTTAAAAGGTGGGAATAAATACCTTTGGAGAGAGGAAAATGGGACGACAAGGGGAAAAGGAACTTTTCTTACCCTAGTACAGCGCTTTATGTGACTTTTCCTATTATAGTTCCTCAGCCCTAAGAGTTGTAGCTCTTGGCAAACTGTCATTCTCTGCAGCATGACAGAGTGTTGTATTGTTTGGTGACTTTAAAATGCACATCGGTGAAGCTTTTAATGTTCTGACTTGGTCTCTTGATTCTCCGCCTTCAGCGCTCTTGCCTTCCACCGTACCTCATCCAGCACTTCTCGTGGTAGCAAGGCTATCTTGAGATTACGGTATCTAAAATTCTTTATTAATTTCTATTTCAAGCAAACTTTACGTAATCTTTTGCTTATAATTTTCTAGTTAATTTCCTCCGGTGCCTTAACCTCCATCCTCCTTTAACTTCCATCATTACCTGCTAGCCCCTCGCCGTGTCACTGTTCCTCTTCGACCCTCCGTTCCCATCCTGTGTCCGCATGACCATGCCCTTGAATACACCCTCCGATCTAGCGCTCCTCCTCCTGTGTGTTAGGTGTCTTTGGCAGAACCCCAGCCCTGCGGCTGAAGGTAGCTTACTGAAAACACACGACGCGCTGGCTGATACCACGTCGGATTCATGAGTGCTCCTCTCAGGTGGAGTCTTAATGCTGCCCAGCAGTCCTACTTTTCCCTCAGCCATTTCCCTACCCTGTGCTGCAGAATCCAATGATCATTCCCCCATGCCATCTTTTAACCCATCAGCACTTGATCCACTCGACCATTTCCCTCTCCTAAATAGCTCTTTCTTCTTTTGGCTTTTGGGGCACTTTAATCTCCTAGATTTCTTTTTCCTCGTAAACCGGTTATTCTCAGTCTCATTTGCTGATTTCTCCTTAACTCTCTGACGCTAAGTCACTTTGTTCTAAAGGATGGTTCAATTCCAGTGTTTCCTTGTTTGTTTTCTGTGGGGATGATTTATCCTTTGTCGATACTGGGGTATTGAAGACTCCTACTGTTACTCCATTTTGTCAGTTTTCCCTTAAATAAAGTCTGTTAGTATTTGCTTACTTTATTTGGTGCTTGTGTGTTTGGAAGCATTTATATTTACAGTTGTTATGTTTTCCTGACATAGCGACCCCTTTGTCATTATATAATGACCTTTTTGTCTCATTACTGTTTTTGCCTTGAAGTCTATTTTGTCTGATGTAAGTGTGGATGCCCACTTTGTTTGGGCTCTGCTTGGTTGGAATATTGTCTTCTGTCCCTGCACTTTGAGCCTATATGTGTCTTCAGAGTTGAAATGAGTCTCCTTCAGGCAGCATCTAGCTGGGTCTTGTTTTCTAATCCAGCCAGCCAGCTGTGCCTTTTGATTGGTGAATTCAAACCATTTCCATTCAGGGTGATTATTGATATGCAAGGGCTTACTACTTATTTTATTTTTTTCCTTCTGGTTATTTTGAGCCTCCATTTTTTCTTTTTCCTTCTGTTTCTGTTTTTATTTAAATTATTATTATTGCTTTTAGAGAGGGAAGGAGAGAGGGAGAGAGAGAGGGCTGGGGGGAGAGAAAGAGAAAGAGAGACAGATATTGATTTGTTGATCCACTTATTGATGCACTCATTAGTTGATTCTTGTATGTGTCCTGACTGGGAATTGAACCTGCAACCTTGGCATACCAGGAGGATGCTTGAACCTTTGTTTCTGTGTACCTTTGTCAGTTGATGGTTCTCCATGGTGATATGCTCATTCTTTCCTACCTCCTTTTTTTCGTGTCTAGTTTTTTGCTTTGTTGTTACCATAAAGGTTATATAAAATGCCTCATGGATAAAATAGTCCTTTCTTTCTGCTGATAGTCCTATATCTTCATTCATATATAAAAGTTCTGTTCTTTTACTCCTCTGCTTTTATATTTCTGATGTCGCAAATCCTCTCTCTCTCTCTTTCTCTGGTGTGAATTTGTTACCAAATTGTAGTAGCTATAGTTATTTTCAGTGTTTTTTTTCCCCTTTAATATTTATTCTATACTAAGTGTTTAACACTGTTCTAAAATAGAGTTACAGTTTTCTAATTCTGGCCATCATCTTAACCAGAGTTTTGTGTTCTTTCATCTTTTCATTTTAGTTTGAAGAGCTCATTTCAACATTTCTAATAGGACAAGTCCTCAGCTTTTGTTTATCTGGGAAACCTCTTATTTCTCCTTCATAGCAGAAGGATAGCTTTGCTAGCTACAGGATTCTTGGCTGGCCATTTTTATCTTTCAGTACTTTGCGTGTATGATTTCACTCTCTCCTGGACTGTAGAGTTTCCGCTGAGAAAACTGCTGATATCCTAATGGGGGTTCCTTTGTGGGTTTTTTTTCCTGGCTTTCCTTAAAATTAGTTTTTTATCATTGACTTTTGATAATTTCATTTTAATGTGTACTGAAGGTCTTTTTTCATTGAGATAGTGAAGTGTTCTATTAGCTTCGTGGACTTGTATGTCTCGGTCTTCCTCCAGATTTGGGAACTTCTCAGCTGTTTTTCTTTCTTTAAACATTCTACCTCCTTCTCCCTCTCTTGTCCTCCTGATATGCCCGTTATTTATATGTTGGCCTCTCTAAAGGCGTCAGACAACCCTTGGAGGTTTTTCTTCACTGTTTACAATTTTAATTCTCTCTCCTCTTCATCTGAATCATCTATATACTATCTTCTATGCACAGTGCTATTTTCTCTTCCGTGTGGTCTACTCTGTTTCCAGTACTCTATACCTAATGCAGCCATTATCTCATTTATTGAGTTCTTCAGCTGTAGAATTTTTGCTTGTTTGTTTTATATTTTCAATCTTGTTGGGGAATTACTTATTTTGTTCATTAATCTTATTCCTGAGTTTGCTGAATTGCCTTTCTGAGATTTCTTTCACATTGTTGAATGTCTTCATAACAGTTATTTGGAATCTTTTATCAGACTGCAATTTTCCATGTCTTTGGTTGCCGGAGAATCGTCATTTTCTTTTTATTGTACTGTATTACTGTGATCTGTTAGTGTTTTATGAAACATGCCTCTGTCATCACATATGAAGTAGCAAACATCTCCCTCATTTAGGTTAGACTTGGTTTACTTTGATTCTAACACTCAACAGCTTGGCAACCAGAAGCCTTTCTTTTGCTTTCCAGAAGGTGGCGATATAGCACAAGGTTTTGGTTTCTCTTCTGGGCGCTGACTCACCCGTTTAGTTTTGAATAGGCTTCAATGCCTGTGGCCCAGCTGCGGGAGGTGTGTGCTTAGCACCTGGGGCTTCGGGCGTGCCGGTGGCCTGGTAGGGGGTCCTCAGGCTGGGGAGTCCCAGAGGCCTGTGGGCAGACAGCATGAAATGTAGTCCCCTTTGCCTGCCCTCCCCCAGACACTGAGGTCTCTCCTGAGAAAGCCAGGTGCTGCTGAAGGGCACAGGGGCCCCCAGCTGCCGCCCTCTAGGCCGGTCGACTTACCACTTTCACTTTCTACCTCCCCCGCTAGAAAGAGCTCTGCCGCAACCCCTCTGACCCCCCACCCCCCACCGCGGCTGCGCTGCCACCACTGCCCCGGCTTTGCAGCCTCCTCCGAGGCCAGGTGCGTGTCCCCTTCTAGGTACGCAGGTGCGTGGGTCCCCTGGCGGTACTGAGCTGCTGCGCAGAAGCACTTTCGTTTCGTTATGAATGTTCAATTAGTTGTAAATCAAAGCAGATAGAAAAGAGGAATGACCCATGTCACCATGGCGCTGATGTCACTCTGTTTTGATTTTTAAGTGGTGTTATACATACGGCAAAGTGTGCATAAGTGTTTATGTAAGTGTACAGTCAAGTAACCCTCCCCCCAGTCAACGTAGAGAGAGCGCTTCTAGCTTAGCAGACGGCTCCTTCGTGCCCTTTGCCAGTTTGTTTTCCACCGCTCTGAACCTGTTCTCGAACTTCATATAAATTGTATCATACAGTATGATCTCATTCATACCTGGTTTCTTTCACTCAACATGTTTTTCAGATTCATCTGTTATGTATATATCGTTTGTTCTTTTTTATACTGCTGTTTGGTATTACATTGTCTATTAATACTAAAATTTTGTTTACCTCATGTGGTAGTATGTTCTGGCTCGTATAACTAAATACAACAGATTGGGTGTCTTAAAAACAATAGAAGTTTATTTCTCACAGTTCTGTAAGCTGACGTCTAGGATAAGCGTGCCACCGTGGTCAAGGGAGAGTTCATGCCAGTGCCTTCTTGCTGCCTGCCTGGTAGAAGGGGCTAGGGGTCTTCAAGGGCTTTCTTTTATAAGGCCCTAATTTCATTCATGAAGGCTCCACCCTGAAAACTTAAGCACTTTAAGCACCTGCCAAAGGCCCCATCTTCTAATAACATCACCTTTGGGTAGTTAGAATTTCAGCACATTAATACGGGGGCACAAATATTCAGAACCATACCATCTAAGTCGTTGCTGTTGTTGGGTTATTTCCAAATATTGACTGCGATGAGCCTGGCTTCTGTGAATGTGCGCGCTCTCTCTCTCTCTCTCTCTCTCTCTCTCTCTCATATTGGTGGTCACATGTACTTACTTCTCTTGGACAGCTACCTAGGAGTGTGATTTCTGGGTTATGGGATGGCGTGTTTTCAGCTGGTAGCAGTTCTGGTGTCTGTATACTAGTGTATGCTACGATTTTAATTTGCTTTTCCTTGATTAATGAGGTTGAGTGTATTTTCGTATGTTTATTGTCCATTTGGATAGTTAGTTTTGTGAAGTCCCTAGTCAAGGTTCTTGCCCATTTATTTTCTATTACGTCTTTGTATGTCTTTTTTTGAAAAATGGCTTTTGCCACTTCACAAACAATATAAAAACCTTACAACAGTCCTTTGTGTGATCATTGTTATATATTTTGCTTCTGTGCTGTAAACCTTTCAATGCATTTATGTTATTGTTACTTTCAATATTTATTACTTATTAGTTTTTTAAAAATATCTTTTATTTACCTAAATATTTACCCTTTTAGTGCTCTTTATTTCTCCCTAGTGATTTGTTTCCATCTGGAATCGCTTTTCTTTAATCTGAAAACCTTCCTTTAGTATTTCTTTAGAGATGTGACAAAAACCTCTCAGATTTTGTCTTGAGATGTCGTTGCTTTCATTTTTCAAGGATATTTTGCTGGGTTACAAATCTGGCTTGGCCTTTTCTTTCCTTTCACTGCTGTACAGATATCAGTCCACAGTTTTACTACAGTCACTGTATTGGAAAGGCCAGCTGTTAACCGTGGTCTCTTGAATGTGTGCTCTTTTTCCTCTCCCTGCTTTTAAGGTTTTCTCCTTCAGTTTTCAGCAGTTTGACTACAATCTGCGTATGTGTGGTTTACTTTGTATTAATATAAAATCCTGCGTGGGATGCACTGAGCTTCTGGAATCTTGATTGATACCTTCTATCAATTTTGGAAAATTCTAAACTGTAATATCTGCGGATATATTATTATTTTTCCCCATTCACTCCTCTCCTTCTGGGACTCCAATTGTCTATATGTCAGACAGTGGCCCACATTTATTCTCCTGTCCTTCCCATTCTTTGTGTTTAATTTGAACATTTTTTATTGACTTGTTTTCAGGTTCATTATTCCTGCCTTCTAATGAGTCTTAATTTCAGATATTGTCTCTTCTAGTTCAGTAATATCCATTTGATTCTTTCTTAGAGTTTGCATTTCTCTGTTGAAAATTTTCATCTTTTTTGTCTTTCTCTATTTTATATTGTCCTTGTATGGTAATTCCTACCACACAATCATTTGTGGGTCTATGACTATTTCTGTTTTCTTTTTTCCTCCTGATTATTGACCACACTTTCATGCTTTTCCAAATGCCTCACAATTTTTATTGAGTGACAAATGTCATGGATAAAAGCAACACAGAGATAGATATCTGTGTTATTTTAGCTCCACATAGGGTCTTCCCTTTCTTTGTTTTGGGCTGCAGGTCACAGAGTTCTTAAACAATACGGATTTACCATCTCACTTAAGTCAAGCAGACAGTTTCAGTGCTGATACGGGGCTGGCTTCCCTATGATTGTATTGGCTTTCCTCTCATGATTCCACAATATTGCCAAAGTTCTAGACATCATGTCTTCATACATCCATGGACCCCGAAAGAGAAGTTTCATTTCCTTTGATACATCTCTTACTTAATGGGAGATTAACATCTTTCCGTGAAGCTCCCTAGTGGACTTCTTGTAAGGTATATCCAGGTCCCATACCCAATTCTTAACGAGTACTGGTGACGTAGGTGGGATTACCATAACTGGCTTAAACCAGACACAGTTTTGGCTGGGCCCGCCGACCTATGCACGTTGTAGCCTACTCCCTGAATCTGGTTTACGAGCAAAGAGAGAGGACGAGCTGCTTGGTGCAGTACCCAACAGAGTCTCCACCGGGGATTTGTGTGCCTGAGAAGACAGTGTTGGGTAGATTGTCTGTTTTGATGTTAAAGCCATTGAGAATAGGAAGAGTTATAAAGGAAAGAGGGGCAGTAAACAATGTATAAAATTGTTATTCAAAAGAAGAATAAGACAGTGGACAACTGTAATAAACAGGTTGTTTAAATAAACAAAAATAAATGAGCATTGTAGCAGACCTGATACTTACAGGGAGGACAGAGGTGACAAAGACGAGTAAGGACGCCTGCACCACCTCCACATCCTGCAGAACGTGGGGTAGAGGAGGAGAAGTAGCTCCTGCTAATGTCCATTGGGTATTTTTATGTCTCCTCATTTTTTCCTCCCAACTTAGATGTCTTTGAAATAAACAAAGGATGTGCTTTTAAAAACAGTAAACACAGAAAGCACCAGTTTTTACCATGTTTAAACCCAAAGATGAAGAAACATGTAAGAACTACTTATTGGGTGTAGAAGATCATGACTGGATGCACAGTATGGTGTATCTTACACCTTTAATTCCAATTAATAAATATTTATTAACAACTATGCATACTGATGATGATGACGATGATAATCTCTGTATAGGTGGTAAAGATTAATTAGAAAACTCTCCAACCTCTGTAGGTCACAGCCCTTTGGAGTTTAATTGGTTATATATGTAATATATTTAAGTAATTATATAAATTATGTAAGTAATAAGTTACATAAAACAATATATAAATAAGTACAATCATGCACCGTATAACAGTGTTTTGGTCAGCAATGGATCTTGTGTACCATATACTGTGGTGGTCCCGTAAGATTATAATGGAACTGAAAAATTCCTATGGCTTAGTGACAGCGTAGTTGTCGTCAAGTCGTAGAGCAGCCCATTACTCATTTGTTTGCAGTGATGCCGTTGCAAACACATCTACCACACTGCCCGCCACATAGAAGTATAGCTTCTATGCATGAGTTGCATATACCATCAAGGTTTGTGTAAGCGCGCTCTGTGATGTTTGCACTTCTTAGAACATAGTGTTGCTATGCGGTGCATGACTAACACAGAGCAATTGGTGTTATTTATACCAACAAAAAATTATGGTGAGGTAGAGACTTACTATTTGGGAACCCTCCATAAGAGAACAGAATAATTACTTTAGGACAAGGGTGGTTTCCTCTCTGACATAAATGGTTTTAAAGTTTTTCTCCCTATCTTTTGATGCTATCTGGGAATAAGCCTTAATAGAGTTCATGTTTCTTTAATACCTCGCTTCTTCTAACTAGAAACTCAAGGTAAATTATCTCTATTTTAACTAAACTGATGAGCCAAAGTCATCTGCAGGTGGACCTCAACTTTCAGACATAAAAACCGTAAGGCCAGCACGCCTGCGTATAATGCACTGACAGCCCCAGCCTCCCGGCGTGCTCCAGTCTCAGGTTTCGTGCAGCACCGCCGGGAGCCGCCGGGTTACCCTGCGGTGACCCTCCCCTGCCCTCCGCTGTGTACTGTGATTTTAGAGACAAATGCAGTGGGGTTTTTTTATTTAAAATGAATGTGTCTACATGCTTTTCTTTAATGGGTAGATGTTTTGATTAGTAGAATTATATAAGGATTTCTCTAGAAAGAAATATATATTGCTCTTAGTTTTAAAAATATAGAGTATGGCCAGATTTCTTATTCTTTCTTTTATTTATTTATTTTTTAAGAGTCCACACAGACTGTCCAAGCTCTGCAGTATTCAACTGTTGATGGCCCACTCACAGCAAGCAAAGATTTAGAAATAAAAAATTTAAAAGAAGAAATTGAAAAACTAAGGAAACAAGTAAGAGGTAAATTTCTGTGATTCACTATTAATTCAGTTGAGTAGATTTTTAAGTGTTTTATTCACATGCAAAATGTTTATTGAGCATTTGTCATGGGTCGTGTGGTACGGGCTGCCAGCGCAGGGGAAGCAAGGAAGATTGGCTTCTGCTCTCCAGGAGCTCACCTTTTGGTCTGGGGAAAAGACAAACCCACAGTTTTTGCAACACATGTGGAAAGGCTCTAAGGAAAATAAACATAGGTACATAGGAGGAGCACCTAACCCAGATTTTAGTTAACAAAGATGACTTTTTTTGGAAGACCTGTTAATTTGGGATACTTAACTGGAATTTGGCTTTTGCCTGATCAGTAAGGTCTTTGTGTTTTAAGGGCTTTGGATTTTTTTCTGAGTGAAACAGGAACCTTTTCAGGGTTTGGAGTCACCTCTTACCTCTTCTGCCCCCTCTCCTAAGTTATATGAGTAAAGGAGCGGAGGGGGCACTGGTAGATGTTGTCCCCCTCATGATCAGAAGCACAGCCTCATCTCTGCAGAGTTTCTGGTTATTTTAGGAATGAGGACATAATGCAGAAGCTATGACAGTGTGCCCTTGTGGACCAGATCCTCTCGTGGTTCTATGAACCTTCTTCTGACTCCAGGCTCAGCCCCTTTGCAATTTACCAAATGCAACTTTGCAGACATTTTCAGAAATTCTAAAAAAAACACCACCACCCCATGCTATCCATAAAAGCATTTAGACTTTCAAAATTCCTAAGATGAATAAACTTTTATTATTAAACCTGTAACTTTAGGACACTAAATATTAGTAAATTATTGAATTTAAGAAATACGGAACCAGTTAGTGTGTGATAGTAGTGATACACTTAAGTAACTTTTTGACTATTGGACTAACATAAACACTACGTTTATTGAAAGCATTAAACTCAATGTCAAGGATTTGCACATTTGTTCTCATACTTTTAATTCGCAAGTCACCTAGGAATCTTGTTAAATACAGATTTTGATTCAGTAGGTTTGGAGTGGCCCTGAGGTTTTGTATTTCTAAGAAACCACCAGAGGATGCTAATGCTGCTTCTCTGGGAATAACACTCAGAGTAACAAGGTTGGAAAGAACAGGAAATATCGTGAACAAAATTACCAGTGACTGTGTTTTGATATTTCCGTTTTCAGTGGCTTCAGTTCTTCAAATATGCCAGGAACATTTTACTTCAATCTTTAAATATTATTTAAACATATACTAAACTTTATTTTATTTCATAATAAATCTCTTTTTAAACTGATAGCGTTAAACATTATTTAATAACAGTACTTTCTAAGTTGGAGAGGAGAATGCAAGAATTTCTGTGCTCAAAGAAAACAAATGGGGAGAAAAAAGCATTTCTGTGCTCTAGTCTTAGTTCTGATGCTTTTTTAGCAACATGACCCTTGGCACATTATTCAGTTCCCTTGAGCCTCGGGTTTTTAATCTGAAAAACAGAGGAACCAACTTCGATTGGAGATTTTCAGGCATTTACTTTTAGAATCAGAGTTTATTCTTCAAATCATCAGTAGTGAAAACAGGTTGGGTGATCGGGAACCATAATATTAGAAGCAAAACCATCTTACAGTAATTTGACTAACATCAATACATATGTCACCCTATGGTAGAGGTAAACTTGTCTGTATTATTTGTTTGGCTGGTTTTTGTCTTTGTTACTTTTAAGCTTTTAGCTGGTTCTGAAGGTACTTTTTATTCTAATAGCTATTTAAGGTATTTTGCACATTTTCATGCTGCCATTATCTCTTCACCATCTTTTATATAAATAGTAAATGAAACATTGTCTTCTCTTTTAGAATCAAGTCACTTGGAACAACAACTTGAAGAAGCTAATTCAGTGAGGCGGGAACTAGATGATGCTTTTAGACAAATCAAGGCTTATGAAAAACAAATCAAAACATTACAACAGGAAAGGGAAGAATTAAATAAGGTAAAAAATATAGATAGATTGGTAAAGGCTTTTCTGAATTCTTAATCTTGTTTAATTTTTGTTTAGTGAAAGCATTCATATTCAGTTATACTAATACATAGTATATTTTATCTGTAAAAATTTGGTTTAAAAATTTAAGAATTATTTGGTGTATGTCATTTGATTAATAGCTAGTAATGGAAAAAACTGTATGCATGAGGGATTAAAGTTCAGAATCCTTTGTTCTTTTGGAAAGTTAACAATCAAGGACTTGATTAAAAAATGAAAGTTTTTGAAAAATGAGGAAAAAAGAATAGTAAAATTAATTTAGTGTCTGTGTACAAATTAAAGATATAAGCATATTTTTCATTGTGACTTGCTAATATCAACATTCTTAAGATTATAATAGAAAATTTCTTTAATGCTTTTCCTTTTTTAAATCATTTTAATTTTTCAATTATTTTAATGCTTTAATGATTTTTTAAAATGTTATTTTATCTTTCAAAGCATAGGTGAACAAACTAAAGTTATTTTCATAAGAACTTTGTGTAACACTTAAACAGTATTATACGCATCAACAAAATTTATTAATAGCTGGGATACTGTAACACAGTCCAATAGGGAAAATAAAATTCAAGCACTAGAGAAAAATACTTTGTTTAAACCACACTCTGTGTGTACTTTGCCTTTCACTAACATATTTTAAAATGCTCGAATCAATACCAGCCAATGCAAAAGAGAAATGAGTGGCTTATGGTGTCATATAGATTGTATTCAGTGATGTAGTATATAATACATTGGTAATACAGAACGAAATCCTGCTGCGAAAGATTTATAAGTCTTGCTTTCAGTAAAGAAATGGAGGTAATTAAAAATAAAACAAATAACCTTTTGCTGATTAAGCTAATAAAAAAACACTAATAGAGAAATCTATAAAGGTTAAATTGAATTAGTTTAGTACATTTTTACTTTTTTCTTGATGTAGTTTCAAGCAGTGTTGTGTATAGATTCATTTAAATTCATGGCCGATTTAATAATATTTGGAATTTATAGTGGATGTTTTATTTGTTTTAATAATATTATAGTAATATTAGTGGTTACTATTACATATTTAAAGATAGGATAATCAGTTAAACTTAGTTAACATAACAAGATAAGAATGTGGTATCTAAGTTTATAATAATTGGTTATTAATAATAGTATATTTACTGATATACTATTTATGTTAATGTACAGGGTCTGGCAGAAATAAGGCTTTCTTGAGTGTGGTTGGTAGGGAATGTAATGTCTCTCATGAGATGGATAATAGTTTGAACATTTCACCTAATGGTGTGCTTGAGTGTGATATGGTTATGTTACAGAATTACATGCTTATGATTTTGTAATAAAAAAGGGACATTATTTGTGCCAGACCCAGTATAATGATTATATGTTATATAATTACATAATTTATAATATATAATGATTACGTGTAATAACATTATATAATTTATAATACATATATAGGTTATTAATGATACTATATTTTGAAAAGAGGGTAATGTTGAAAAGAAACAGATTATATGGATAAAGAATTTTAAATGATTTGGTTAATGTCTTATAGGCAGCAGATATTCTTTAAAGATTTTTTTCGCACCGGCTGGTGTTACTCAGAGGATTGAGCACTGGACTGGGAACCAACAGGTCTCCTGTTTGATTCCTAGTCAGTGCACAACGCCTGGGTTTTAGTCCAGGACCCCAGTTGGGGGTGTGTGAGAGGCAATTGGGTCACATCACTGTTTCTCTCCCTCTCTTTCTCCTTCCTTTCCCCTCTCTCTCAAAATAAATAAAAAAATTTTTTTTAAATCTCAAGGACATTTTTTTAAAAGATTTTTTCATTTGATGCATATGAAAGAATAAATATAACATATATAAGTTTTAATGTAGTCAAGTTTATAAATGTCTTTATGATTAGTGCATCTTTTGGCCTGTGTAAGAAACATGAGTTAAAAAACACTTCTCCTAAATTTTTATCTAGAAGTTTTTAAGTTTGGTCTTTCATATTTAAGTTTTAATGCACCAGAAATTATTTTTGTGTGTCATGTGAGCTAAGGATTGACTCATTTTCACCTTTCCCGTATGGCTGGCCGGACCCTCATTCTGCCACGATGTACAGTGGCACCTCTGCCATGTATTAAATTTCCATTTATGCATCAATCTCTATCTCAGTTCCCTATACCTTGACAACTGTGATGGGATTCGTATTAAAATTGCATTAAGTCTATGGGGCAATTTCAGGAGAATTGACATCATTCTAGCATTGAGTCTTTAAGTTCCTACTGCCCATATTTATTAATATTATCCTAAATGCACACACAGCTTCCAAGAGCAGAGCAGATTATTACGATTTACAGTTGTCCCCCTTGTCTGCAGGGTGTATGTCCCAAGACCCCCAGTGGGTGCCTGAAGCCGCGGATGGTACTGAACCCTGTACATACTGAGGGAGCTAAGGGGGACTTGAACACAAGCAGTACGATGCGTGACAGAGGGCCAAGGGGGGCTTCCAAGTGACTAAGGGGTGTGTGGTGTCCACAGCGTGGGTGCGCTGGACACAGGGATGACTCTCATCCCGGGAAGGGCAGGGCGGGATGGCATGAGAGTTCATCACACTATTCAGAAGGGCAGGCAATTTAAAACTTCTGAATTCTTTCTGGAATTTTCTATTTAATGTCTTCAGACCTGCATTGACTACGGGTAACTGAAATCGCCTAAAGGGAACCCATGGATAAGGGGGAGACTGCTGTACATACAGCAGAAAATAACTGCATGGCTCCCCGGGTGCCAGTCTCACCTCCGGGGCATCACAGCTTAGGAGCCCCAAGAAGTGAATTGGGGGGTGTGTCCGAAGCGGAGAGAAGCACATGCTTCCTGGCTCCCCCGCCCCCCGCCACCCTGACTCTCCCTGGAAACCCGAGGGAAGGGTCCAGGGTGCTGTGGAATATAAATAGCTCGTTCCAGTGGAGAGGTGGGCCCAGGTCGCCAGCTTTACACAAAGGGTGTCTCCCTGTTCAGGCGCTTAACTCTCTCTCCGCTCCTTCTTGAAATGGAAACACACGCGTCCAGGAGTTAAATCTCTTTGGATTTTCTCACTATCTAAATGACACACAAATCACTTGAAAAACCTTGCCCAGGTCCCCAGCTTCAGTATTATTTGCTTAGAAAGGCCTAACTATACAAAAACAAAGAAATATTTTCTCTACAGCTTCACAGTCTTTTCATCCACAAGCATGCTATATCCCCCCATAGCTTGACAGACTTAAAATGTTTTTCTGTAAAATTGTACCAGGTCCTGTTTGCTTTTCCTTAAATTTATTATCACCTTTATTTTTTCATATTTTAGATGGTATCCTTAAAAATTATATTTTTTCACTGATTTTGTTCTAGCAATGTTGCTAAACTCTTACTAATTGTAATAACATATTTTAGATTCTTTAAAGTTTTCTGCAAATAATGACAGTTTTGTTTCTTCCTTTTTTATTTTTATGACTTTTCTCTCTTTCCTGTTCTTACTGTACTAGCTTGGACCTCTAATACCACATGGAGTAGAAATGGTGATAGCTGGCATTCCTATCTTATTCCCGATTTCAGAGAAAACGTCTTTAATATTTCACCACTAATGTTTTCTGTATGTTTTTGGTAAATACTTCTTATTAGGTTAAGGAAGCTACCTTCTGTTTGTCTCATGCTAATTGTTTTGATCAATAATGGGTATTGAATTTATTAAATGTGGTTTTTATGCACACTGTTGTAACAGATTTCTAGGGCTTATTAATATCTATTGATGGAGTTACATGATTGTTCTCCTTTAATAAGTTGGTGTAGTGAATTATATTTATAGACTTGTTTAAAAAATGTTAAACTACTTCTGCATTTCTGGGTTAAATGTAAGTTGCTCATATATTTTCTCCTCAATAATACGGTAGTACAGGTAACACATAGCACCTGTTCCTAATAGCAGTAAGTGCTTCACATATATTAGATCATTTGATCTGTGTAAGTGTCCTGTGATTTAGGTGATGATGTTGTTGTTATTCTCATTTTACAAATGATAAGACTGAGCACAGAGTTAAGTACATTTGTTTAAGATCATAAGAGAGCTAGACAGTGGTGGAGCAGGAGGTTCAGCACAAGGAGTCTAGAAGTTTTTTTTGTAAGGATTTTTAAAATTTGTTTTCATCAGTAAGATTAGCTTGTAATTCTTTCCCTTACCTTTCTGGTCTTTTCTTGATATCGAGATTCTACTGGTCTCAGAGAATGAGTTAGGTAGCATTGCCTCTTTTTCCATTCCCCAGGAAAGTTTGTGTAAGAGGAGCATTTTGTGTAAGAGGACACATTGGAGGAATCAACTGTAAAACCTCCTGAGCTTGGGGATTCCCTCCTGCTAAGGGGACAGGAGAGGTTTATTGATTTAGCTGCTTCAATTGTTGCAGGCATTTTATTTCTTCATGAAATACTGTTGATAGATTGTAAATTTGTAGGCATTTGTTCATTACAGAAGTTAAATTGATTGGCCAAAGTTTTTCCATGTGTTCTTTTATTATCTTTTTTAATCTTTCCTAGATTTGTTATAACCTCTTTCTTAAGAAACTTTTTGTGCATTTATTCTTGTTCCCTTGTTTGATCTCATCAGATGTTTGCCTGTTTAATTATTTTTTCAAAGCATCAGCTTTTGATTTTGTTGATTCTCATTATTCTCATATTTTTTTTCATTAATTTATGCTCTTTATCTTCTCATATTTAGGAGGAAGGATTAATGTGTTGCTCTAACTTTTTATGTGGCAATTCATTGTATTTCAAGCATTTTTTTTTTAGTTTCAATATAAGTATTTCAGGCTTATGAATTTTCTGCTAACTATACCTCTTACTGCATCTTCAAGTTTCAGTATGCACTAAACATTTTTAATTTTTTAAAATAACTTAGTATTTTTATGATTTTTCTTTTTGACCAGTGAATTATTATGGAATTTTGTCTTTTTATTTTTAGTTTCTATTTAAATGGTAATGTTATTAAAAGAACTTGATCTGTATAGTATCTGTTCTTTTAAATCTACGTAATTGCTTTATGGCCTAGGCTGTTCCACCTTTGAATGTTCAATATATACTTGAGAAGAATGTATGTTCCTAGTATTGGGTGCAAGCTTCTATATATGGAACTTGTTAACTGAGCTTTTCAAGTTATTTTTTATATGCACAGATATGCATTAAATATCACAAAGTCTTTATTTTGACCATTATGTCTTATATTCCTACACTCTATTCATTTGTAGGAACCAAGGTACCAGAAGGTTAAATCAGTTGTTCCTTGGCAGTTAGCATAAGGAACTGAGACTATGAACAGAGCACCGTGCTCTCAATATCTATTCAAAAGTAGTTCATTTCTTTTCATTTTATCCTACGGTGAATAATTTTGGCTCTTCTTGACTTCATGATAGCAACTTTGACGGCCAAATTTGGTCCCTAGGTGGCAGAATTGGTAACTTATATTCTTTTTACAAAACTGTAGGAACTAGTCCAGGCTAGTGAGCGATTAAAAAACCAATCCAAAGAGCTGAAAGACGCACACTGTCAGAGGAAACTGGCCATGCAGGAGTTCATGGAGATCAATGAGCGGCTCACAGAATTGCACACCCAGAAACAGAAACTTGCTCGCCATGTCCGAGATAAGGAAGAAGAGGTGGACCTGGTGATGCAAAAAGTTGAAAGCTTAAGGCAAGAACTGCGCAGAACAGAGAGAGCCAGGAAAGAGGTTAGTAGTCAGGCAAAGTCCGTAGCGTCCGTGTGGTAGTGATGAGAGCTGCTTTTCCAGACTAGTGACATAAATTTGTATTTCATTATGTAACCTTTTTAAAAGGTGTTTTTTGTTTTTGTTTTTATTTAGTTTGGTAATATTGTTTAATATGAATGTCAACATTCACGTTATCTTCCTATGACAAGGTCAGTTCCCATGGGGAACCCATATTGTTGGAAAGCAGTTAGAACCATACATCTGCTTTTTTCATTTTATTTTAAAGCTGGAAGTTCATACAGAAGCTATCGCTGCTGAAGCATCTAAAGACAGGAAATTGCGTGAACAGAGCGAACACTATTCTAAGCAACTGGAAAATGAATTGGAGGGACTGAAGGTATCGTTTGATTTCACATTTATGAAGCTGAATTAATTTTATTTTCTTGAGGATTAAATGGAGTGTTAGTTGTGTGCTGTCTTTGGTGTAGAGTTAAAATTAGCTCTCTCTCCAACCTAGTATTCTTAATTCTCATTTTCACCCGTCGAAAGCGGATACCGACTTCCTATTCTTAGTGGGATGAAAGGAAGATGGTGTTTAGTGAGAAGAAAAAACCTATCAGGAAAGAGTTAAAACATTTATGCAGGACTGCATCCCTGGGCAGGGTCTCTTGGTAATTTGCATGGGAGGCAGGGTTAGATGCCCAACCCTCTGTCTTGTAAATGAGCCAGGGGAGGCTCAGAGTTAGGCACTTGTGTCACGTGACAGGAGACCGAAACGGGCTAGCGCCTCTCAGCAGGAGCGCTCAGTACGGAACCCCTGCAACCAGCCCTCGAGACCTGGGCGGCCTGGTGTAGCTCCTCGCCTCGCCCATTACCCGTTACGAGCCGGGAAATGCTGCAGAAAACAGCGAAGCTCTTTGGACCTTAACTTTCTCATCTGTAAAACCCTATCTCATTGGTTTTATGTAAGGAGTACATGCGTGTGTATGTAAGTTGACACCATAATTGTTGGGTAACTTATTATAATAATATGTACTTCAAAGTGAGAGAATTGGGATTCAATTGACATCATATTTCTACAGCATATTACAGTCATAATCTGAGTATGATATATGCCTTTTCTTCACTCAAACCATTGCATATTCTGTTTCTCTGCATTGTATGCCAGCTCCAGCTCCACCTACTCCTTACATAACTGTGTCTAGTCTAGAGTTCTGTTCATCTAGCAGATACAGGAATCTAGTTGAGTGTCATCTCAGGAAGTTTGAGTATTCCTTACTTTGTGCTGACATAGGATTCTGTTAATAACTAGCATAGCTCTTGCCCTGGCAGGTTGGCTCGGTCGGTTGATTGGTTGGTTGCAGGTTTGATTCCCCGTGAGGACACATACCTAAGTTGTGGGTTTGATCCCTGGTCAGGGCACATACAGGAGGCAACCAATTGATGTCTCTCTCTCTCTCTCTCTCTCTCTCTCTCTCTCTCTCTCTCTCTCTCTCTTCCTCTAAAGTCAATAAACATATCCTCAGGTGAGGATTTAAAAAAATTTTACAATATGTATTGAAAAAATATTCACTATAAATGGACCTGTGCAATTCAAAACCTATGTTGTTTGAGGATCAGCTATAGTTATAAAAGTTCTCAGATCAGTAACCTAACTTATCTTATGGATCTAGGAAGAGAATCAAAGGAAACTCAAAATTAGTAGAGGGAAGGAAATAGTAAAGATTAGAGCAGAGTTTTTAAAAATAAGAATAGAAAAATAATAAAGAATGAATGAAACCAAGTTGATTCCTTGAAAGAGCAACAAAATTGACAAACTATTAGCAAGACTCACAGATGGAAGGACTGAACAACATCAGAAATGAAAGTGGATACATTACTACCTGTCATCAGAAAGCAAAAGGATTATAAGACAATACTATGAATACTATTTATCTGACAAAATAGACAAATTCTGTAAGCACACAGTTTACCTAAACTGGCTCAAGACAAAACAGAAAATTTCAACAGACCTGTAACAAGTGAAGAGATTGAATCAGTAATAAGAAACCTTCTGACAAAGGAAAGTCCAGGATCAGATGGCTTCATTAGTGAAGTAAACCAAACATTTAAAGAAGAATTAACTCCAATTAAACTCTTTCAGATAATACAGGAGTAGGAAACCCTTTCTCATTCATTCTGCAAGGCCAGCATGACTCTCATACCAAAGCCAGATTAGAAACATAACACAAAAAAGAAAATTACATACTAGTGTTCCTAAATACACATGCAAAAATTCTCAGAATACTAGTAAGCCAAGCCCAAAACTATGTTAAAAGGATGACACACCATGAAAAAATGGGGATGGCTCAATGTAAGAAAATAAATCAATATAATGTATCACATTTATAAAACCTAAAGGAAAGACATCATCTTAATTGATGTATATATGTCATTTCACAAAATCCAACGTCTTGTCACGATAAAAACTCTCAGAAAACTAAGAAGAGAAGTGATTGCACTCGATGTGATAAAAGGCATTTATGAAAAACCCACAGCTAACATCATGCTCAAAGGCGAATGACTCTCTCTCCCTAAGATTAGGGATAAGCTAAGGGTGCTCATTTTTACCTCTGCAGTTTAACATCATACTGTAGGTTCTAGCCAGAGGACTTGGACATGAAAAACACTGAGAGAGACATCCAGACTGGAAAGGGAGAAGTGAAACTATCTCTATTCACAAACCACATTATTCTATATGTTTTAAAATCCCAGAGAGTACTGCTAGCTTCCAGTCTAGGATGTAAGAAGCTGGGAAGCCTCCACTGTGTCCTAACAACAGATAAAAGCCTGGACAAATTGAAAAATCAACAACTCTTCTTAGGCCTGTAGGAGAAATGACATCACAGGATAAACCCTTCCCCCAGAATTGGAGAGACTGAACAGCAAACAGGGAATCCCGAGCAGAAGCCTTTGTACGGGTCAGTGCTGGTGCAGGGGAGCCTGCACTGTGGTTGAAAAACAGCTGGAAGCACAGTGCGAATAAGACAAGAGATGAGAGCTGGGGGAGCCCCGTCATCAGGCCCCCCACCCACGTGCTGAGCTTTACCCCCTGGAGCTCTCCCAGGTTCACACAAGGAGCACCTGAGAACCCGCTACTTGTGCTAACAGTAGGGGGAGCCGCTTCTAGAGCCTCCTGTTTTTCTTCACAAGGTCTGTCCTCAGACTCTTCAACCCGAGCCTAGCTGTGGGGTTTTACCTGAGCAGAACTGGCTTGAAGGAGGACCTCATCACAGCCCACCCGAGCCGTCCTGTTCAGACTAAGGAGAAGACCTGAAAAGGTTCTCTGAAGTTCATGGTCCAGAGGCACAGGCTCAATAAATCTAATCTTAGGAGAGCTTACTTACTACCACATTGCTAAAAGTCTATTGTAACAAAATATGCAAAAAACCTATATGGGGAAAATTTAAAAACTCTGATGAAAGAAATCAAAGGAGAACTAAAGAAATGAAGAGATAGTCCACATTCGTGGATAAGAGACTCAATATTGTCCAGATGTTTGTTCTTCCTGTCTTGCTCTATAGATCTGATGCAGTCCCAGTCAGAGTCCCAGCCCGTTCTTCTGTGGGCGTCAGCAAACAACCTGAAGTTCACGTGGAGAGGCAAAATGCCCAGAACAGCCACACTATGCTGAAGGAAAAGAGCACGGCTGAAAGGCTGACACTCCCCGATTTAAAGACTGCACTATAAAGCTGCAGTATCAAGGCTACGTGGTATTGGCAAAAAAAACATACAGATAAGTCATCTCTGACAAAGGAGCAAAGGCAGTACAATGGAGCAAAGATTTTCCCTTCTACACATGTTGCGAGAAAAATTAGACATCCACATAAAATAAATCTAGACACATGCCTTGCACCCTTCACAAAAATCAACTCAAAATGGATCCATGATAAATGTAAAATCAAAATTATAAAGCTCCCACAAGACCATAGGGGGAGAAAACCCAGACAGCCTTCGGTATGGTGATGACACTTACGTATAGCATCAAAGGCACAATCCGTGCGGTAGAGTTGGGACGTGGGACTTTATTGAAATTAAAATTTCTGTTCTGTGAAAGACACTGCCAAGAAAATGAAAAGATGAGACATAGACTGTGAGAAAATACAGATATATCTGATAAAAGACTTACCCAATATATACGAAGAACTCTGAAAACTCAATAATAAGAAAACAAACAGTGACAGGTTTGCAAGGTCAACACACAATAACTGGTTGTGTTCCTGTATGCCAGTAATGAACAATCCACAAAGGAAATTAAGAAAGCAGTTCCAGTTAATAATAGCATCTAAAAGAACGAAGGTTGACTTTGACCATCAATCTGATCACCGAGACGACTCAGTGACTAAGGATGGGTAGCATTTACAGTGTGCATACGCAGGATAAAGGGATGATTCACATCCTAGGGGGCTGGAGCAGGGTGGTGCAGGACCTCATCCTGCTGCTCAGAAAGGCACGCAGTCAAAAACTTCGGAATCGTTTCTTTCTGGGATTTTTCATTGACTACTGTAGGACTGTGGTTGACCACAACTGCAAGTAAGTGAAACTGCAGATAAAAGGAGACTACTGGACAGATAGGTCAGTGGTCAGCGCTGCAGATGTCATTTTAGGCATTATTTTCATGCAGCTGCATAAGAGCAAGAATCTGGCTTGACGTGGCTCTTCTGGTTGGAGGAGAGCTTTGCACGCCAGGCTGCCCAACAACTACTAGACAGTCTGTGTTGTGCACGTGGCAGGCACTTCGTAAGTGGTCTGTGAGAAATGGTTAAGTGTTGCAGTGGGTGCCCCGGAGACATTGCTGGGGCCCACACTGATGCCGTTGGTTGGTTGGTTGGTTGGTTGGTTGGTTGGTTGGTTGAATTATATACCTGAAATGTGAAGAAGCCAGCATAGGGTTCTTTTGACTTTAATTCAACTATTGTTATCCGTTTTTCAGGCCTTAATACCACCTTGAGAAAAGGATGCAGCATCCTCCAGAGCTTGAGTTCTTGTCATTACTAAACATAAGCCCATAGTTTCTTTGGGTTTTCTAAGTTTTATTTTCAATCACTTGGGAAAATAGATCACAAAGCTCAAGAAATCTTACAGTCACAATCTCTCTGTTTCTGTTTATCCTTTAGCCACTACGTGGAAGAACCTTTTGACTCTGCGTTTTCCATTTCCCCTTATTACTGAGAGTATATTTTAACCTAATGTCTAAAAAGATGGCCTTCAACCAAATTTCTTCTCCTTAATGCCCTACCTAAATGCCAGGAGACCTATTGTTTTTTTCTAGAGTGTATATGAAGATGGTAGGTTAGACACTTGTCATTTTCTCCCTGGACATTGCAGAAGCCCCCTCTGTTTGCACTTTCTAGGTTTACCATCCCTTCCTCCAATTTAATCTTTTAAAAACACAAATGTATTTATTACCTTTTATTGGTGCCACATCAGAAACAAGATGCAGTTAGATTTTCCCCTCCATACGCCAACAGTAACTGTATATAAATTAAAATTTTAAGTGTAAGACAAGTAATTATTTAAGCACCAAAATTCAGATACATAGTGTGAAGACTATAAAATACAAAATAATAAAGGAATATACACTGAGGAAAAAAATTGTAACATGTGGCAGACAAAGATTATAGCCTGAATAAAGGATTATTTTTATGTGATAATATAAAAAAAATTAAACTATATGAACAGGTCTTTATAGCTTAGAAAGATGTTATTTGTTGTTTTATTATTCTTACAGATGGATTAATCTTTTATTCTCTTACAGCAAAAACAAATTAGTTACTCACCAGGAGTATACAGCATAGAACATCAGCAAGAGATAACTAAACTAAAGACAGATTTGGAAAAGAAAAGTATCTTTTATGAAGAAGAATTATCCAAAAGAGAAGGCATACATGCAAATGAAATTAAAAATCTGAAGAAAGAACTACATGATTCAGAAGGCCAGCAACTTGCTCTGAACAAAGAAATTATGATTTTGAAAGACAAATTGGAAAAAAACAGGAGAGAGAGGTAAGAATCACGTTATTTATTCCTCTAGTAAATATTTATTGAATGCCTAGCATGTGCTGGGGACTGGAGATACATAGGCAACAAACATATTCCTGTCCTCAGGAAGACCAAAGTCAAGATTGGCAAACAGAAAATCGTATTACAGCCTGAAGGGAAAGCAAGAGGGATGTGTGGGGGAGCACGCGTAGAAAAGGCACAAAAGAGGACTTCAGTGCAACTAGGTTTTTTAAACAAAATGATGTGAAAGTTACGACCAAAGAAATACATAGCTGCGGAAGAGTGTCTGGGCGAAAGTAGCAGAATGTGCTAGGATCTAGAGGGGAAGCGGAACGTGGCTCCCTCAGAAAGTAAGAGCTATTCATTATGGTGAAAACGTAAAAGGAAAGATGAGAGTGGTGAGAAATGAGGCGGGAGAGGAAAGTAGAAGCATGCTCATGAAGGAATGTACGGACCTGGGACTTTATTCAAGGGCCGTGGCGGGGAAATGGCGCGATTATATTAATATTTTTAAAAGATCTCTCTTGCACCCGTGCGGAGAATGGATTGGAAGGAGCAGGCAGTAGATAGGAATCCACCTGTGGGAGATGAGGTGGCTGGGCCTTAGGCAGTGAGGGTGAAGGCAGAGAGGAGTGTGCGGACTCCAGAGTCCTCCTGAGAAGACGGAACTTGGAGGGCATAACGGCCAGATGAGAGAAATGAGGAACAGGGTAACCAGGTTTCCAGATCTTAGCGTGAATGTATGTCGTTATCATCTCAGCTTATGTTAGAAGCCTAGGGTTACTCAGTTTGGTAGATTGATTCAACAAAAGTATTTTAGAACCTACTACAAGTCACTGGGAACATGCAGTGAATAGACCAAAAATCTCTGTCCTTATAGAGCTTTCCTTTGGTTATGGCGAAAGACTACAAACCATAAGCGACATAGCAAACGTACCAGATAATGATAAATGTCGAGAAGGAAAAATAAGGCAGAAGATGTGGACTTCGAAGCATTAAAGGGGAGGATTTAATTATAGGATGGCCAGGGAAAATTATACCGGGAAGGTGACTTCTCAGGGAGGACTGAAGACAGTGGGAGAGGTATCGCTACAGATGTATGAGAGGAGCATTCTACATGGAGAACACGTCTGTTAAAAAAAACACTAATAACAAGACGGCAAAATTACGGAGACAATAAAAAGGTCAGCGGTTGCCAGAGGTTTGGGGGAGGGAGGGATGAATCAGCAGACAACAGAGGATTTTTTGGGCAGTGGAACTACTCTGTGTAAGAGTGGACACATGTCATACATTTGTCCGGACCCTAAGAATGTGTGACACTGATAGTGGACCCTAGTGTGGCCTGTGGGATTGGAGTGATGAAGATGTGCAGGACTAATCCAGGGTCGCGGTCGGCGCACAGGCGTCCCTCTGGTGAGGGGTCTTGACAGTGGGCGAGGCAGTGCTTGTGTGGGGGCAGGGGAGACGTGCGAGACTTTTGTACCTTCCTCCCCATTATGCTCTGAACCAAAAACTACTAAAAAATAAAGTTTATTAAAAAAAATAATGAGGTCAATGTGGCTGAAGTAGAGTTAAGAGGAAAGCATAGTAGGAGTATGAAAGGCAGTGGGGGCCAAATTTTGTAAGGCTTTGCCAGTCACGTTCAGTTGTAAAGCCTTACAGTTATTTATTCTGAGTAAAACCATTGAAGGGCAGTATTGCAGGATGTTGAACAGAAAATTGGCAGACACTGACTTGTGTTTTAACAGGATTGCTTCTGACTACTGCGTTAAGAATAGTCTGAATTAGATAAGAGAAAAAGCAGTGAAACCATTTAGAAAACTATTGCGATAATCGGGGCAAAAGAGATGGTGACTTGGGCTAGGGTGGTGGCAGAATTGGGGGGAAGAAATGTCTGCGTTCCAGTCCCCTTCAAAGGGCAAGGTAATGGTGTCCGCCGATGGAGTAGAGAAGGGACGAGAAAAAGAGGAGGAATCAAGGACGATACCACGGGTTTTGGCCTCAGCAACTGGGAGAACAGACGGAGGAAGATGACAGGAGAAGCAAGTGTGGGATGGGAGTATCACCGGGAGCTCATTTTTAACAAGTCGTGTTTGAGATGCTCATTAGACATCGAGGTGGAGCAGTCAGGTGGGCCGTGAGCAGAGCAGCCCGGGTGTCAGGGCTAGAAACAACGTCCTGGGGGCATTCATCACTCACATGCTACTTAAACTGGTGAGACTGCATGCGGCCACTTGGGAATGAATATAGATAGAAGGACTGGAGGCCTGGGCCCTGGGGCACTCCGATCTTTAAAAGTTGGGAAACAAGGGAGAAACAGCAAAGAGAGAAACAGCATCAAGAATGATAGGAAGACCAGGCAACTTTGGTATTCTGGAAGCCCTGTGATGAAAACATATCAAATCTGCCTTCATGTCAAATGGGATAAAACCTTTATCAAATAAAATGAGGACAAGTAATGGTAATTGAGTTTAACAATATGAAGGTCATTGGTGACTTTGATAAGAACAGTTTCAGTGGAACAGTAGGGGCAAAACCCCAGAGTGGGACCCAAAGACTTGAAGGAAGGCAATTGACGACAGAGTATAGATTGGAGCCTTTTATTATAAAAGCAAGCAGTGCAATGAGGTAGTAGCCGGAGGAGAAATTTATCTCAAAAGAAGTTGTTATGCTTTTTGTTTTTATCTTTAGGTGGGAGAAATAACACCAGGCTTGTGATCTGATAGAAAATTTTCGGTAGGTGACTCAGGAGAGAGGGGCGGAAAGTGCCAGAGCAGGATACTCGGGCAGGAACACAAGTGAAGGGGCTCGGCTGCGTTGTTACCTGTGGTCCGAGAAGAGAAAGTCGAGTGTGTGGGCACAGAGGACGGCGGGGAGGCTGGTGGGGGCGTGGTAAGTGCTGAGCTCTCTTGAGTTGGGCACATTGAACATGAGATGCCTGGGAGACATCTTTGTGGAGATAGCAAGTCAGCAGTTGGCAGCCCAGAGAAGCTGCAGATGTACATGTAGAGCTCGTCTGCGTAATGGATGGTTATTGAAGTCAGTAGTGTAGCAGCTGAGATCGCTCCGGGGAAAGTGTGGGGAGAGAAAAGCCGAGCACCTGGGACGGGTACCAGGAGCGTCTGCTTCCGGGGGAGGCTGCGAGGGCAGCTCACAAAGGCAGCTGGAACCAGGAGAGCGTGGTGTCACCGAAGCCAAGAGAAGGTGGCATTTCAAGAGGAGGGGTGGACAGCGCTGTCAAAGGCAGCCAGTCGGTCGGATGTAATAGCAGGAATAGTGGTGAGTTTTGAGAGAGCAGTTCTTTTGAGGTGGTGGCAGCAGAAGCCAGATTTTGGATGGTGAGGAACGCTTAGGTGATAAGAAAGGGTATACAGCTGAGTCTGTCAAGATTTCAAGATGGTTACCAGTGAACAGGAAGACAGGGAAAGTAGAAAATGAAGTGTGACGTAGGGTTTTGGGGAGAGTGTGTGTATTTTGTTTTATTATGGAAGAGACTCAAGTTTTGTTTCATGCTAACAGGAAAAAACAGGAATGGTTCTGCATAAGAAACTTTACTCAATTCATTTGAATACATATTTTTTTGAAGGGAGACTCTTGTAATTTTTCATGTTTTTGTTGTTTGTTATTTGAAGGTGGTACTGAATCAAGAAAGATACTGAAACATAACTAAATTTGCGTTGTGACAATAGATAATAAGGAAAGTGGCACATGACACGGGACGGCTTATTTTCCTGGAATTTATAATTTATAATTTAATTTATATTCAGTAATTCAGTGGTGCAAGGGGTTTTTAAGATTACATTTTTAAAATCAAAATTATGTTCTTTGTTGAATCATATGAAATTACCCAAATCTGATCCACATTGAATTTCATTTGCTGCTAACATCCTTCATCCAACTGCTGCAGATATAAGCAAGCCTTTTTATTTACATTTTTGTATCTCATTATTCAAAAACTGATTCCCCTTTTCCCTTTTTAAAAAGTCTGTTAGAACTGTGTTTATAAGCAGAATCATTCCTGCCCCCATAACTATCACTTTAAATAAGTTTTGTAATATCAGATTTGTTGCCTATGTACCTATATGAGTATGTAGGCAGGTACTTAGGTAAGAAGGAAGCAGCAAAGGAAGGAAGGGCCGAGTGTATTGAAAGAACTGTTGGACATTTAATTGTGAATTTCCTGTGCAATCAAGACCTGAGTATGAGGACGCGTGATGTGGTTCATGTATCCTCCTTCCTTTGCCTCCTCATCTTCCCATACTTTCTGCCATGTGCGTAACCAAATAAGGGATCACAGCCCAGAGTCTGCAAATCACAGGTGTCTTCCTCAGATTTCCCAATGAAAAACACAGTAGATGCTATGAAGAGGACAAATCTATTTATTATTTTTAAAAAATGATTGTTAACTTTAAGGGAGAGGATTGGGGTTTGGATTAATTAAGGTTTAAGTGGCTTTTCAGGATAAAGCATATGATACAATAGCTAACATGGGACACCATAATTTTACCTTTAATTCAACTCCTTTTTTTTTTCTCTTTATGCTTTGAATTGTGTTAGTCAAAGTGAAAGGGAAGAATTTGAAAATGAATTCAAACAACAGTATGAACGAGAAAAGGTGTTATTAACTGAAGAAAATAAAAAACTGACGAGTGAACTTGATAAGGTGAGCGATTCAGTATCATTATATTCATTGAGCACACGCAAGCTCTTCAGCCTTGAGATAGAAACTGTGGCTACAACTTTATATTTGGTGTGCATGTTTGGTTAATATTCCTTCTTATGTGCAAAGATTGCTTGTAGGTACAGGCGGTGTCTCGTCGTGCCAATCTGTGCAGGAGTCTTCTGGAGAGGGTTTTTGTGTATCTCATCTTATTTTTTGTCCCATTTTTTTGAGCCTCTGTTCTGTACTTCACTTGCCATCTGTTCTCTTTCTTACCCTTTACCACATATTCATCACGTAACTCTGCCATGTCTAAGTGAAGGCTAGCACGTGGCAAGAGCAGGAACAATTAGGCCAGGCTGGAGAAGTTGACGACTATAATGTCATATTTATAATGGAGAACTGATAATGGCCAGAAACAATATTGTTGGTCTATAAGAATCCAAAGAAACCAACTCTCCCTAAAGTCTGTTGTTTGAATAAAGAAAAGAACCATAGATAAAAGCTCCTAAGTAGCCTGATTGATGAACAAAATTTCAAATGCTTGAAGGAATATTTTTCTATTTCGTCTATCAGGTTTCTTTTTCCATATTTCTATATAGTCTTAGAATTATTATGAGCCAGATACATTCATGTACAAATAGGAAAACCTTCTTACTCCCAAACATACAAAATGAACTGATACTTAGGTAAAATTTACTATGTGCTGGTCCTCTCCTGAGTTACTTCATTTACATAATTTCTCACAGTAACTCTGAGGTGTGCCCTGTTCTCGCATTTTGTATGTGGGGGAAGACTAAGCCACTCTCCTACTCACAGACCTACAAAGTGGCAGAATGGGATTTGAACGCAGGCAGCCTGATTCCAGAGTTCACGCTTTTGAAAGTTAAAAAAGATTAACTTTTTTCTGAACAAATTTATTTAAAACTAATAAGTATTGTAACCTGGCAATGCAAAATCTGCATCTCCTCCACTTGCAAACCTCCAGCTGAAAGCCCAAGCACAAATTACTTGGAAGGGCTGTCCAAAGCAATGGCAATCCAAAAAAGAGAAAAGATGCGTTGAAGGGATTAGTGAAGACACTGCATCTGCAAAAAACATTCTCAGAAGCAGCTGGTAGACTTCTGGCTATGCTAACATGAAGAACTGATGAATCGTCTCAAGAAAAAAAAAGGTTTGAAAATGGACACTTGTCAAAAACGATCATTTCACAGCTCTTGAAATTAACCAGAGAAAGACAACTACAAAACATTGCAGAGCTACGTTAAGGCACATCCAAGCAAATGGAGACTTATATCACGTCAATGGATTGGGCTCATGTCTGCCCTACTCCTCTGTATAGAATCTTGGTCTGTCAGGTCTTGGCTGTCTTCTTCTCTCCCCAGTGCCTTCCTGCAGGCGAATACTGTGAGAAGTATTCCCATAGTATAAAGAAAAAATTTTAAATCAAGTCCATTCAGCAGCCCGAATGGACTAAGATAGGAACCTATAAATAAGAGACTTGACAGATGCAATGCCCTAACTAAGCTATTTTTATTGTTGGTATCATGATTCAACTTAACAAACTAAGTTTTCTGATATTTTGAGATAACTGGAAATCTGAACAGTTACTATGTGATGATATCTGGAAACTTGTTAAATTTGTTAAAGTATGATTATATTGTAATTATATTTAAAGAGCCTGTTTTCTAAAGATCTCTATACCTATAAATTTATATAGATAACATTATATGATGTCTGATATTTGCTTTAGAATAATACAGGAGGATGGGCAAGAAGACAGGAGTACAAATGAATTACCATTGACATTGTGGTGACAATTGTTGAGGGCGGGTGGTGGGCTCGTGGGAAGTCACTTACACTATATGTCCGTTCCTGCATATGCTGAAAATTCTTTACAAGCTTTTTTTAAGAGGTGACATAGAGACATTTTCAGACAAAAAGTGAAAGATGTTGTTAACAGCAGCACTGGAGAGTTCTCCAGGCAACTGGAGACTGTTTACCAATGGAGCCAGTTCGGTGTGGGTAGCAAGGGAAAAAAAGCAAAGGCCAAAGGAGAATTTAGAGAGTACTTGGTGTTTCCAAATCAGTGACCAGAAGAAATACGGTGAATTTAAGGTACAACAAGAGGCATCCGAGCACCTGGAGTTCCTGTTCCTAAGAGTCACATGTGTCTCGCATTGCCTTTCAGCTAACCGCTCTGTATGAGAGCTTAAGCATGCGCAACCAGCAGTTGGAAGAAGAGGTGAAAGATCTGGCAGACAAGAAAGAATCAGTTGCACATTGGGAAGCCCAAATCACGGAAATAATTCAGTGGTGAGTACTCTTTTTAAATGTGTTTTCGTGGGTGATTTTGCACATATGCTCAAGTTGGAAGGAATTTCCAACTTGACGAGTACTTTATTTCTTGCTATGAAAAAATAAGTTACTCTAAAAGCATAGTTTTATTACTGATAATGTTACTTATTACTGACCTGTGTTCTGCTGTGTTTTCCATTGGGTTGCATAACTCCAACATGTATCCCATGTCAGCTTTTACACAGCATTATTAAAACCTGGTATTCCTTCCTAAGAAAAGAAACTATTTCAAGCTCCTAAGACTGTTAGTCCTTAAAGAACAGAAGATGGTAATTCACTAGTTACAGATGATTCTTTCTAAGATCAAAATTACTGTATTTGTGGTTATTTTGAGAAACAGAAATCCTGAAGAAATATTGAGAAACTGAAGATGTGCTATTACTTTCAGAATTATGACAGAGTAATTCATATGTGGCATTTTAGAAACCTTAAATGGTTACAGTTTAGTTTTATCAACTGTTCTTTAAATTAAGCTCTTCGGATTTAACGTGGAATAATTACCTCAATAACCTTCATATTAATTTATTCATTAAAATGATTATTCTGATATTTGTAAAAATGGGTATATTTTTATAATGCATGAAGAAAGTGAAATCCAATGGGGACTTTATTTTCTAATGAAAATAGTTTAACATTTTATGTTTACTTTTTAAGGTGTTTACTTTTTTGCAAATCATGGTTGTTTTTCTGAAAACAACTTGTTTCTTCATATGTTTGTAGACCAGTCATTTAGAGGAAATTTTAGTTTCTTGTGCTCTTATCTTACTCATTTCTTCCATTTTCCTTAGTTACCCCAGATTAATAACCCCCATGTTAAAATCAAAAGTGAATAAACACTGTCTTTTTAAGAAATCTTAACCAAATGACTCAAGTATCTTGATATTGGCTTAACTGTGGAGCTGTTATGTTAACTCCTCTTGGGCTTACTAATGTGACTATTCAGTGAATAAAAAGCTAAAGGAAAATGTCCTATTGTGGAAATGTGGTTGTGTTCCAAACAGTACAGTTAAACAGTTCATTAATGTTTAATTTATGTCCTTGTCATCAAATCTACATTTCTGAAGCAAAATCATTTTTACTTTAGCCAAGTTTATATCAACAATTAGGACTAATTATTTGTAACTCCATTATTAAATGATCAAATTTATAATTAAGGAATTGCTGAAAATGACTTTCTAGAGGACAAGCCTGGTCTGGCCAGAGTCTGAGCCCCTGGACCACTGGCCTTTCCCCGCGACGGACCTGGAGGGTCTGGGTGGACGGGAGGGGCCCGGGAAGGAAGCCGTGGATGTGGGCCCTCTGGGAGGGCCTGGAGACAGAATAAAACTGGAGTTTTATGTCATCCCAGAAAATACTCCCTGTACACTTTTCATATTCAAGTGAAGTATGCAGAAGAAATCAGGAATACGAGGAAGTCACTTTGCTTAAAAACTGTTATTTAGAAATGGTCTTGTGTTAGAGAAACTATTGAATACATTACAGGCTAAAAGAAAAATATACACTCCTGTTTTCAGAGTTCTCACCTACTTGAAAATTAACTCTGAGATATTCTATCCAAGCTTAAAGGTCAAGAGTCTCAGGCTATTTACAGTTTTTTAGTGCGGTACATTAAAATAATGAAGTAGTGCTAAAACAAAGTTTTGGAAACTTGTAATACACAGTAATCCCCACTTATCTGCGGTTTTGGTGTCCATGTTTTACTTACCTGCGGTCAGCCGTAGTCTGCAAATATTAAATGGAAAGTTCCAGAAGTAAACAATTCATAAGCTGTAGGTTGGGCACTGTTCTGCGTCGTGTGACGAAACCATCTTGCGCTGCCCCACTCCATCCTGTCTGGGACGCGAGTCATCCCTCACCTCCACAGGAGTCGGGGGTCTAAAGCTGCTTAAATAAAGCTCATGATTTAAATTTGTATCCTGTCTGCATCACAAAAACATACTAATTTTCCTGAAATATACTTTCCTCATAGCTATTCAATGGCCTGAATTTTATCTTTGAAAACAACCAGCCTGCACAAAGCAAGTTAGAATATACTTCCCCAAAGTGTGTTAGAATATACTTCGGAGCCTGGCAGAGTTCAGCTTTTTTCTTTGAGGCATTATAGCTTCCTGCGTACAAATGATTTTCATTCTTGAGAACAGGACCTTTTGCAGATTTTCATATGCTGGTGCTCCCGGCCCTTGGTCCTCCCCTTGTTTTGGAAGAGATGTAACAAAAAGCACACTTTCTCTTGAGAAATTCTAGTGTGTGGAATTTGTTTTATTAAATATAATTTAAAAACATTTCTATCTAAAAATTATAATAGTTGCACCAGTGAGATAGTCTTAAGACAGTAAATAGAAACTGAGTTTCTGTAAACTTTCATCTTATCTCTATTTACCAATTTAGAAAACAGAGAGCTTTATTATAGTACAACTTTGAGTTTTGCAGAATATGCTATTTTAAACTAAACTTCTAAATATAACATAGTTGAGTTTTAAGAAGAGTGTGTTATATTTTTATAACATAAAGTAGCAGAATCTAATTCATGAGAAATCTTAATGTTGTTTGGAAATCGTGATGGGGGGAGTTTAATGTGAGGTTAAAAGAGCATTAATCCTGTGGTTCATGGGGGAAGTCTTATTACTTTACCAGATATGACTAATTTGGACTTTCTTAAACATGGTCAGCTTTAATTTGCAGATAACTCAACAACAGTTCAGTAAACCTCTTCCCAGTTGTTGGGAGATAGTAGTAGTGGGTTGGCCAAAAAGACTGTCTAGTTTTGGGGTTTTTTTGTAAAATAAAAGACACATTTTTCATTTTTATCAATAACTTTATTGATTTGGATATTTTGAGTATGTCAGCTCTCTCCCGCTATTGGCTTCTAGTGAGTAGAGGCCAGGGGTGCTGCTCAACATCTTCCAACGCATAAGACAGCCCCACAGCAAAGAGTTATTTGGCCAATGTGTCAATAGTACGAAGCAACTTCACAGACCACTTTCGACACCTTTGATTAGTCACAGCACCTTCTCCATACACAGCACAGATCTTTATTTCTGTTTCAGTTGCGTTTTTCCTTTTCTTGAAATAATGAAGCATAATATGCTGAAAATGTGCATTTTCTTCCATCCTCGATATTGAAATGGCTGCACAAAAATTCACCAGTTTTGATTAAGTTATTTTTAAATGCATGCTGATATGACAGCTATCACAGTCCAGTCTAACAAAATTGTTTCAAATGAAGTTAAAGACAGCTAAGTACTACTAGAGCCATCGTAAGGAAGGAGACTAAATGAACTCTTTGGCCAACCCAATACTATGGTAGAACTTTTGAAAGAAGACACTTGAGAACATCTTTAAATTTCTGTCCCTTCTCACTTATTTCTTTATGATGTTGTAAAATAATGTATATCTCACTGAATTTTTCATTTTGTTTTACTTTGGTGCCTTATGTCTGTCTTCATATGTATGTGTTTTAGGGTCAGCGATGAAAAGGATGCCCGAGGGTATCTTCAGGCCTTGGCCTCTAAAATGACCGAAGAGTTAGAAGCATTACGAAATTCCAGCTTGGGCACGCGAGCAACAGTAAGCTGCCGACTGCCCAGAGACTCACCATGGCAGGGACAGGGGAGGGCTCAGGGACACCGTAACAAACCTGAGGGCTTCCTCAGTGTGTCCAGGCACTAGCCCCCTGTCAAGGTTTCCATGAGAAATCAGTTCAAGTACTTCCCAGCTTAGGAAATTATTAACGCATAGTTGCTTAACTATAATTTGTACGTTAGCCGTTATTGGTAATAACTATAAAAAATAAGCTCATTTATATGTGAGTCTACAGTTATTTCTGAATGTAATGAAAAATATATTTTGACAAGAGGTGTTTATATTCTGTTTTGTTATCAGAGAAAGATAATGCTTTTAAGTAGTTTCCAACTTCACTGGAATTACTAAATTTAACGTAAAAAATAAAATTGAGCTAAAAACAGTCATTATTTTATAGGATATGCCCTGGAAAATGCGTCGTTTTGCGAAACTGGATATGTCAGCACGACTGGAGCTACAGTCAGCTCTCGACGCAGAAATAAGAGCCAAACAGGCCATCCAAGAAGAGCTGAATAAAGTTAAAGCATCTAATATCATAACAGAATGGTGAGATTGGATAATACAGTAACTTCTACATTGGTCCCAAAGTATTTGGGGAGAAATTAGGTAGTTAGTTACTCTCACATTTTTTTAAAAAGTGATGACCAGGAAAAGTTATGAAGATTTGGAAATGAATAGATGCTTTCACACCTTTTACACAGTGATGGGATTTTAATACAGCCTTGTTTTCCTCTGACTTGTCCATAAAGTAGAATTAATAGTACTAATTAATATTGTTATTTACTTTTCCCCTTATTTGTAAAATTTGGTTAACTCTCAGATCTTATTCCATTAAATCCCCAATTCTCTCATGTTCAAGAATATCATATTAGTATAAAAATGGAACATGTAGTCAAAAGCAAAATACAGTCATCTGAAAATTCTGACCTATACCATAAATCTTTTAGAAATGAAGGTTCTGTCAATGGTAAATTTCATAATGGTATAATATATTTTCATTGTTGTTTATGTTCTTTTATGTGTAACATATATGTATAATATATCCCATAGTCTCTGAGAAAGTTAGCTAATGAATACGTTCCCTAAGTTCTTATTACAACATTAGAGCAAATTACACTCTGAATAAATGAGAAAATGAAAATCATAATTGGATCGGATATAAACATGGTTCAAGAACAAGATAGTATAGGTGACAGAGAGGAACAATAAGAAGTTCATGCTGCAAATGAAAAGTTAAAAAAATTCTTTTGGTGGTCAGAATACCCAAAGTTCCAAATGTGTCGGTCATAAAAAGAAATCAAGTCCGATAAATTCAATTTTGAATCGTGTGAAGGCTTAATCTTTAAACAGTAGCCATTAATATTTTTAACCAAATCAGAGGCCAGATACATGGCAGACCAGTTGAATTATAAATTTTTGTTATAAATAATCTAGACATAAATTAAGTATGCTTTACTGAAATGTGCTCATGTGACATGAAAATGTAAAAAAAAAACCAAAACCAAACTTCTTCTGGAGAATGTGAATTGGATCCCAGCATAAAGAATGCCATTCTCTGTGCTGTATTCTAGAATAACTCTGATTATCTTCTTATGCCTACGATGTATGAATTTGTCCATAAATCAGGGATATGAGTCAAGCTGAAAATTATAAACACATATAGTCTACTTTTGTGGGTCTCTGGGAAAGAAGTTAACAGAATTCTAAAATTAGCTTTTGATTTTATGACATTTTTTAATTTAATTGTGTAGCTCAGGGTCAGCAACTTTTCTATAAAAGGTCAGACAGTAAATATTTTTGGACCATGTAAATAGTCTGTCCACTCAACTCTGCCATCAAGCCATACATGGCCAGCATATGGCCAGATGAGCCTGGCTGTCTTCCAGTGGAACTTGGCTTACATAGGAGATGACAGGCCCTGGGAGGGTGGCTCAGGCAGTTAGAGTGTCATCCCCGTGAGCCAAGGCTGTGGGTTCGATCCCCAATCAGGACACATGCAAGAATCAGCCAATAGATGCATAAATAAGTGGAACCACACATTGATGTGTCTCTCTCCTCTCTTCCTCTCTCTCTCTAAAATCAGTAAATAAAAAAAAAAGGAAAGACTCTGCTTAGAAAAAAAAAGAAGTAGATAACAGCCTGGATTTGCTCTTCCTTAGAGTTCATATTTCCCTAATTTAGCATGACTGACATTTGAACCAATTAAGCCCATCCAAATAAGTGATGGCTTCCCGACGAGCAGTAAAAATAATGACATTTTTCCTTTTCTTCCCCTCATTTAAGTAAACTAAAAGATTCAGAGAAGAAGAACTTGGAACTACTCTCAGAAATCGAACAACTGATAAAGGACACTGAAGAACTTAGATCTGAAAAGGGTATGGGAATGTTTTTTGCATCAATCAGAACCTAATATTCTGTTGTGAATACATTCTGTTACACAAGAATAAGTGTATTGTGTAGGTGGAAGAGTTGTTTGACTAAACAGTTCTGGCATCCATTTGCGGATCTGGTGTGTGATACATAAACACAGATATTTGGTAGATGGGTATCTGTGTCCTTTTGTTTTTATTTAATATATGTTTTTTAAAGATTTGATTGTGACAGAAGAACTCCCTCATCATACATTTAACCTCTTTCAGCTCCATGGACTATTTCACAAAACATTTTTGTGATTAGAAAAAAATTATTTTATAATATGCTTTATACTTACTATTCCCACATGTTATAGGGGATTCACTCTATATCTCACATTAAGGAAACAGTGAGTGAAATAGCTAAAGCTTAATATAATCCAGTATTATAAGAGCAGTTCCAAGACAGAGAGTTATTTTGGCATTTCAGTGTCTTCCATGTTTAAAACTTAAATTGTTTGCCCTGTGACTTTCCCAGGATTTATTCCCATTTTCTTGAAAACATTACTTAAGCATTTTTTCCCGTTAATGTGAAGAGCAACTCGAGAATGCATGGAGCTCTATTACATGAACTTAAACTTTCTTTCCATATGTGAGCATTAATAAGGTAAAAATGTAATAAAAAGAAATGCAGAATGTTTTCTTAATGAAGGGATCGGTCATATCCAGTTGTGAGAAATTCATTTTCTTGACAAAGTCAGCATCCCTGCCTGGACACCGGCCCCGGTAGCGGGCTCTGTGTCGTGCACGCGTCTCCCCCCATGACACCCAGTGACGAAAAGCCGGTTGGGTCTCAGCATCTGCTCTAAAACTGTGGAAGAAAGAAGGTATCACATAAAGGCGTTAATGTGGAAAAGCCACTAAAAGTAGCAGATGTGCAATAAATATTTGTTGACTGAATTTTCTAGTGAACAAGAAAAGAAGGGACCCAGAGAAAGTGAATTAGGAACTCAGGTTAGGAACACAAGGCATCGCGCAGAACTGAGAGTCAAGCAGGGCTTTATACAGGGAGGATGGAACGGAACTGTTACTGGTTAGTGAGTAAGGGGGCCAGAATATGAGACAGGAAGGACTTGGGGCCCCAAGACAATTTATATGGAAAGAGGCAATGCAGAGTATGACTTTCAACACACAGGTGACATTGACTGTGTCATTTTAGATTAGACCTGAATTTGCAAAAGAAAAAACTTAAAGTTTATCACATTGCTCTCTTTTGAAAACATGTTAACCTATAACTGTTTATTTTAATTTTGAACTTGTAGAATAATAACATTTTACTATATGTGATAACATAATATACTATTTATGTAATATAATACAATATTTACATAATGAGGACAAGGTTCTTTTTTTCTGCTTTATTTATTGTTATATTCCCAGTATCTAGAGGGACTGCACATAAGAGGCTCTCAATAAATATTTGTTGACTGAATGAATTTCTGAACATGCTGCCTTTTCTAGCAACTATGGTATATTATTAGGGAGTAATATGAAGGGCACAAAAATTAGTTGATGTCAGTTTCTGAGGCTATGAAAATAAAAGGTGTGTGCTTGGTTATTTCTGCTTTTTCCTTTCTAGTATTTAGCGTTATATAGATATTTTAAGAATTATTTTGAAAATTATACATCTAAAGTTAATACCATAGCCAAGAGATATGCATTCATTCTGTCAATAAAACAATACCTGAAATCAGACTGAGGCCTTAACAAAAGTCTTTTTGTTTCATAACAAATACATTTGTTTTATAACTGCATTATTTTCTTATAAAAGATTGTTTATGTTAGTGCATACTATGTGCTTGATAAGAGAATTTCAAAACATTGTTTGGTGGTAAATTATCTTAGAAAAATCAGACATATTTGGGGCTCTATTTTTAAAATTCTCTCAAGACTACCAAAAGATTTCATGTGTTTTTTTCACAATGTACTACTATACAGGAAAAGAAAGAAATTTAAGAACTCAAGTCAAGAAAGAAGTGTTTCATGGAGAATGATATAATTTAACTATTAAGTGATAATCCAAGAAACATGAGTGTAATTTGGATTTTCTAAATATGTGGAGGTAATATTGACCAGCTTTAAAATATGGTAGTTTGCAAACAGTTTTTAATAGACTTAGACAGGAAAGGTTATCCATGAAAATTAGTTTTAATTGTTCTAGTTTTAAGAAAAGTTGCTGCTGTCTTCTAGGTATAGAGCACCAAGACTCACAGCATTCTTTCTTGGCATTTTTGAATACGCCTACCGATGCTCTGGATCAATTTGAAGTAAGTATTAAGCTTTTCCAATATCCTTTGGGATCAATTTAAAAACTACTTTGTGATTTAAAATTCACTTGTAATAAAACTGTTTTATTGCATCCCACCTAAGAGGACCTAGACTCTTACATATTTAAAAACATGTTAGGAAAGGAGTATATTCTGTGTTCTTTTGTATTTAAGAAAACATATAAGAAAGGTCTGTATGTGAGAGTCATAAAATTTAAAAGCAGCTTCACCTTGTCCCCTGAGATAGCTGTAAGCGCAGAACAAATCCTGACTTTTGAAATAATCTGATACTTCTTTTTTTCTCCAAAGCATAGAGCCACAATAAAAAGCCATTGAATATGTCAAAGTTCACAGTAGGGCAGTGCTGGTTCTAGTTCCAAATTAATTCAGTTTTTTAGAAGTATATAATGGGAATGCTTTTTTTAAAAAAAGTATTATGTAGAATGTATTATGCAGTTTACATGTAAATGAAATAATGATTATATGACTTTTTATCATTCTTTAATACTTAAATTCTTTGCTAAAAAAAAGTACTTTATGATATAAAGTATACTTCTGACTCAGAAAATTTGATAGTGATTATATCTTTATTCAACAAGTAATTGTAGATCTCTGTGCAAGTCACCGTTCTAAGTGTTGGAGATACAGTAGTGACCAGATAGGCAAAGTCCCACCCTCAGAGTTTACGTTCTGGTGGGAACCATCAAAAGCAGATTGTTTCTTTTTTTTAGGCATTACCTTCTAAAGTACTTGCATTGAATTTGATTATTGATTTGCCATGAGCTTCATTTTACTACATTTTGGGCACAGTGTATGAACTATATTTCATTCCTTTGGGTAAGGGAAAAAGAATCACTTTTTAAAAAGTAATTAATTTCTGAGTTTCTTGACAAACAATTACAGTGACTGCTTTTTCATTTATTTATTTGAATTAATGTCATTTGCCTTTCAATTGTTTTACAAAATTTTTGCTTTATTATTTGTTCTTACTGAATTGCTTCATCCATATTTTCTATTTTTTTATTGCTGTATTCGTTAAATAGGATTCCTTTTCTTCTTCCTCATCTTCACTGATTGATTTTTTGGATGACGTAAGTCTTTGATTTTCAAACCAATGCATCCTTCAGTAAAAGAGATCAGTGAATTGATATGAAGAATTTGCCTAATGCAGTCAGTTTTAGAAATATCACACTTGATAATTTATTTGTGTGCCATAATTTGCTTCTTTTTATCTTAAATGTAATGAAGAGTTTATCATTATTGAACATAATAAAGTAAAAATGTATTTTGAAAAATTCTTTGGCCATCAAAGAATCTGTATATTTCCATTCTTTGCAACAGTTCTGAAAACTGGAATGCTCATTTCATTATTGTCACATTATAGGTGTGTATATATATGTATATATATAAATAACTGCTCATTTTTATTTTTCATGGTGATTTCTATTTCACATTCCCCATCTCTTTTCAACACCTTAATTTCTCTGTTACTTAAAAGTAAACCTCTGGTGGTATAATCAGAAAACATGACAACTTCTATTAAATCTTCCAGTAGATTTTATAGTAATACAGTAATTGAGTATAAATCAATCAATGCTGACAGAATTTCTCTTTCAATGTGGAAAGTGATTTTAGTTCAATGTGTACTATATGCCCTTTAAATTGACTACATGATCATTTTCTCTAAATTCTGTACATTTAATAATTCAGAAGTTCCTGATGTATATCATTCATTCTCTTCACAGCAACACTTGGCATAAACATTCTCTCTGTTCTGCATTAAATGGCACAGTGATCCTGGTCATAAAGCATTTTATTATCATGCTGAACATTCAGTCTCTCCAGAAATTGGGAAATCAAATGTTATACATAGAACTGTTTTTTAAACCAGGGGCAATTCCTTAAATGTTTTATTTTTGCATTTTGTTAAATATAATTATATAATAAATATAATTTTCCACTAAAGGTAACTCTTGATCTAGGTTTTTAAAAATTATTTTTTAAAGTGATATTTGATACCTTTGAAATATTTATGCCGAAGTGCACACCTTTGCACTCTAAATGGAAACTACTTTACTATTCCTAAGACAAAATAACTATTCTAGTTAATTCTAGAGTGTGATAAAAAGAGAGCTCTCTTGATGTGCCATAGTATTGCATGCTTTAATCTGGTGTGTATTTTACTATCCAAAAACACTCAATATAGTATTTCCATATAGCTGTCATTCACCTATAAAAGAATAGGAAGTTTGAATAAATTACGTTAATTGTTCTTTCCACTAGAAAATCGTTTTCATTTTTCTTTCTGACAAACTCTTCTCTGCATCCCCTGTATCCCACAAAGATCTTTAAGGCAAAACATGGCAGCGGCGTGTGTTTTGGCAAACGGGGTGGTTCCTCTCGGCGCGAGAAGCCGCGGGAAGGAACCAGACCTCAGCAGCTCCCCCCCAGCGAGCCGTCCGCCCCCACCACCCAGCTGTCCTTACTGTTCCCCGCCTCCCCGTTTCCCCGAGGGGGCCCGGTCTTCTCCTTCCCCTGCAGCAGATCCCCGGTCTGACTGGAACTAACTGTCAAAGCGCTGCCAAGGGCCTCTTACAGAGGAAAAGCTTGAGGCCATGGTGGCTGCTGAATCTTGACGGTCAGGCTCCAGATCTTAAAAGGCAGTTTCCCCCTCATTTACTTCCTCAGCTCTCTTCTCCCAGTTAATTGGCTCAGCACATAAGTGGATTCGATTTCTGCCTCTGCTACTTTTTCTAGGTGTATGATTTGGAGCAAGTTACCTGACCTTTTTCTTTGTTCAGTGGACAAATAGAGATAACAGTAGCACTAATCCTATGTGGCTGTTGGAGAATTTTTTTTTGAACGCCTGTAGCGTTCTCATAATACTGGCTATTATTTCCTTGCTCTTCAAAGGCCCCTTGCCCCTCCCTCCCTTCCTGTGTTCTCTTCGGCTTCCTTCTTGCCCATCAGTTCGGGTCCCCTCCGTGCTTTCTTGGTCTTCGCCACACGGCCTCCTGCTCCCTGCTGCCCCCCCCGGCCCGCTTCGGAACTGTGGGGTCACATTGCCACGGAAAAGCGAGTTTTACCTGGCAGGGCAAAGGCCAGCCCGCAGCAAGCTCCCATTTTAAAAAATATTTAGTATTCCTAATTTGTATTTTATGGGTTAAATCTCTTGTTTCTCTTTATAGTTTTATCACCATGACCACCCTTTCCAGGATGGTGGTGTTCAGTCTTCGGCATCCTTGGGTTCAGCATCCAAGATGTTTAGTGTAACAATCTATTCTGTAGCGTCCTTTTTCTTAGGCGTTTGAATTCTTCAGGAATAAAATAAATCTTGATTGTTTGTTGCGCCGAAACTAGCTAGGTGGCTGTGCATGATGCTTACGTTAGGTGACTGTCCTGTAGAATAAGTGGATTCTAACTCGTAACTAACCCACAGAACACATCCTCTGGTCATTCTTTTTTGTTTTCAATCTCATTGCCGTAGAAAAGAAAAAAATTACATCAGAGGCCTAAAATGTTAATTACAGCTGGAACCTGTAGGTATAGGAGGGAATAAGGCTAGTATTAAACAGAATTGCAGAAATCAAGTGTCTTTCCGCACCCACACGTCATGGACCTTCACCTGCCCCCATAGCCTGGCGCCCTGAGATTCCTCACGGCTCTGTGGCCCCCCCAGATCACCTGTTCCTCCCCTGAGCTCTCGCACCAGGTCTGTTAAAACTGCAGTCCTTTTACGTAAAGCAGTGCACACAGTCACTCCCCCTCCTCTAACGTCTTCTCAGTGTGTTTTGCCTGTCCATTCAAAATTCCAGTGAACGCTAGGATTTTGGGCAGTATGGGAAGGTGTTCAGAGCAAGGTGCCTTTTTTTTCCACGTTGCACTGTTTAGACAACTCTTCTCTGTATGTAAGAGTGGCCTTGACCGAAAGGGCGTGTACCTGACACCTGTCGCCTCCTCCCCCTGATTCAGGCAAAGCAGAGTACAGTCTCAGCAACCTGCTTCTGTGTCTCAGGAGAATTGAGGCATTTGGGCTCTTGTACACATGGAATCATAGACTTTTGAAGGAGAAAAGAGCCTTAGAAATTATTTAGTCCAGCAGTTTTAACTTACTTGTCACAACACTCTCCCGTCAGGGAGAGACTTTCTCAGTCTTTGGAGGAAGAGGGAAGTACTGATAAAGGGTTTATTTATGACATTCTGTACAGAGCAGATCAGAGGGGTTTCGTTCATTTTAAAGATAAATGGCCTCCTGTGTAAGGCGTTCCCGCATGAGGCACGAAGACAGCAGTAGAACAGGCACCAGATTCCTTCTGCTCTGGACCCCCTGCTCTGCCCTCGTCCTTTCTCAGTCCTGTATGCCCAGGCCTGGACTGCCCACCATCACCCTGCAATTCTGCACGCTCTTTACTCAGGCCAACTTTACAAAAATGGAAAGTACCTGTTTACCTGGCAAATGAGAATGTACCAGCTTGCTTTTTGAAGGTCGCCTTACTCTGATCTGAGGAAAGAGTACATCAAGGAATTAAAGCTCTAAAATGTGAAGGCTGGACCTACAGGAATAGAGATAGTACTTATCATCCGACTGCCTGGTCCCTAATGTTGTGCTCTTTCCTCGAATTCTGCCATATTATGAGAAGCAAGTCTGAATGTATTGAGAAGCTGAACTCGACTCTTGGCTTTGGCCTCATATAAAATCTTACTAAACTGTTCCAGAGTATTTCATTTCAGTCGTAGCTCCTGGCTTCGTTTTTTATCTCTTGCTTTAAACATTGTTTTCCTCTCTAGCTTCTTTCATATTCTTTATTAACCCGTCACTGAAAAATTGAGGCTTGGCAGCTTCTTAGCTGCCTCTGGGGAAAGTTGATCACCTGTGAGAATCAGTGGAAGACAGAATTTTAAAACATGCATGGTAAAAGATTTTTTAATCCTATGACCAAAACTTGGCCTAGATTCTTCTGAAAAATTATGGCACTCTTGAATTTCCTCCTTCAATTCTTGTTTCTTAAAACTTTCACCTACATATTAAGCATAACCTGGCTCGAAATTCTCTCATTTCAGAAAGTGTCATTTGCAATCCTTTTGTAATTTAGGCAATGTTATATTTTATATTTTATACATTACTGTGTATATTTTTATTGCTTATCACATATTAGAATACATGTAGGCAATCTAGAGTAAAAGAATCATGACTGCATCTTTTTTACCTCTTCAGTATTTTATTAAATAAGTCTCTGGAATTCATTAACTGAACCTTAAATCTATCAGCCAAATTATATGTCCACAAGATAAATGACTTCTTTTGGTTTCTTCTTGTTTACTTACTTTCAGTTTGCTTACTTGGCAATATATAGACCTAGATGTAACATATTTTTAAGTGGTATGTGATTGCAGACTAAGACAATGTAGTGGTTTCCAGTGTTTGCTACAAAACGAGTTTCAACGTTTACAGAAAACCATGGTGTATGAGAATGTGTATGGGGGGGGGGAGGAAGGGTGGGGGGGAGAGAGAGAGAGAGAGAGATCCTCTAATTGCACCATCAGGAAAAAGTATAATTCTCTCTTTTCTATGAAAATAGAAAAGTAGTTGTCTGATTTCTAGGAAGACACTTTGGAAAGAACATTATTTCTATGGTAATTTAGCACCATTATTAGTTTCATGTACTGACAGCTTAGAAAATGTGTTGTCCTTCATATGCAAAGATAATTTTGAGACACTTTTGACTTTTTATTAGCATGGTGGTAAGATATTACTTGGAGCTATTCATGCTCTTTTTCATGGAGGGTAAGACAGGTACTTCCTGTTAATAATTAAGGGAATAAAACCGACTTTAAATCTGAGATTTTAGACTTGAGACAGTCTGGACTCATAAACAAAACACCTTGTTTAGAACCTGCAGGTCTTCTAATTGTGGTTTGCTGCTCACACTTTGGGACCCAGTGTTCGCCTTCCATTCCAATTTCCTGTAGAAAGAAGTAACAGTTTATCAGTCTGCCAGAGTTATGGTACAAATAAAACTGATACTCTTGAGTTATGTTTTTCATCCTTGTAGTTGATTTTCTCTGAAATCTTTTATATCTCCTGTCGACTGAGTTTATAAGTTCCTTCCTCCGGGTCCGCATAAAAATCTTGTACATCCCTCATCCAGGTTTCCAGACTTTGTACGTGTCTCTACTGCAGCGTTTATCACATTGTTGATGGCCGGATGTCTTCCCCCAGTCTGCGAGCTGCCGTGCCTTCTTTATCTTTTAAGTGCTTGACACATTGTAAACCCTCAAAATGTTAGGTTGAAGTGAACATAGGACATTGCCTGAGCAGATGTGTTTCGTGTTTGTGAAGCTCTAGTGCTAAGCATCACAGCTTGAAAAACTTGAAAAATATTTTGATATAATTGTTACCTACTTATTGTTACTTTTGCCTAATTACTTAAGTCTCTAATGCCAGAAAGGTCAAGATCCCTTTTTTGTCTAAGCCTAATATCTAGTCGGGATGGACAATATTATTGAAGTAACTTTTTGTTTTTATCCATTATTAATAATTCTGAGGGCCTTATTTAGCTTTAATTTAAAAGAATCACCTTTGAAAAAAGTAAGAATTTGGTCGGTAAATGTCTGAGGCAAGACTAATTAAGTATTTTATTAAGTGCTTACACTTCTAAATCAGAATTATTGACATCCTTTTTGTTCTCACATTTCAAGTTGCTACTGCCAACCTTTCTAGAAAAGAAACTGTCCATCACTTGGAGAAGTGTTATTTCCTGCATCACCGTTTGTACAATACAAAATCCAATGAAAACGTCATTATCATTCTTAGACCTAGTCTGAGCAAGGATCTCTTTACTATCCTGTCCTCCAGTATTTTTCTAAAAAATACATGTCCTTTCAACCTATTAAGAAAATGCGTCTTTCTATATATGTTTATATACTTTGTCTGTTAATCCAGTGGAATACAGTGGTGGTCACTGGGAGCCACATGTGTCAGTATTTGTAACATGCAGTCTTCTCCTTTCTCTGTTGAAGCGCTCTCCGTCCTGTGCTCCAGCTAGCAAAGGCAGACGTGTAAGAGACTCTGGCTCTGTGTGTCCCGCCCCGATGCCCTCTGCCCTCTCTCTCACCCTATTTGCCTGTGGTCGCAGAACATGCTGATGTTTTGTGCTGTATTGTTACATTTATCGCATGCTTTGTGCTGCTGCTCCTGCTGGCGCTATCTGCTTTTCTGTGGGTTTTTTATTTTTTAATTTAAAAAACTTTTTTTTTTGGCTTTGGCCGCAAAGCTTTAGGAATGTTCATATAAATTTCTGTAATGAAACTACTAAAATGATAAGGTCTCTTTTATTTTGATTGTGGGAATAAGTGATTCTAAAGTATGCTTTCTAAATTGATGGTATACAAAGTAAATGAGTTCCTAAATAAGAATCTGATATAAGCAAATATGTAGAAATTTCTCAGAGATTTTCATTATATAGAAAGAGAATGATAATTCATATCCTACAGATTTCAAACATGACTTGGGACAAGTTCCAGATCTGTAATTTCATGTATATCAGTTCTGGAGAAATCTTTGATAGATATTTTTATGTGGTTCAAAGGAAACCACTAAATATTTTACATTTATAGATTTGGAGAACTAATGTTAATAAATCATTTACATTCTAAGATGTGTCCAAGATATAAAAAATATTTGTGACATTCTTTTTATATGCATCAATAACAAACTCTAAGTGTCTTCCAGTGCCAAGGCTGGCTCAGGGCTTCTCAGTCTAAAACAGGCTGGCCACCCCCTGCAAGAGCCTCAGATGCCTGGAGTGTGGAGCCTGAGTGCGGGAAGGCCCCAGGTATTGCTAGGCCAGCCTCCACCCCAACACCAATATACGTGAATACGAGAGGCAGCAAGCTCGCTGACCTTGGCACTGATTTTCATATACTTTATAAAATAGTAACTTGGAAAAGGAAAGTCTGTGATAGATATGAGTTTTTTAACTTTACTTTTCAGCTTCATGATCATTGGTATTGAGGAACACCTTAAATCCAGAATTCTTGGATTTGGGAAGTCCTAGATCAGGGATTAGAGGGTGGCCCACTGCTTCCTGTGCTTATATTATCTTTCGGGTGTGATGGAGAGTTGGGTGTAAAATAAACACAGTTAGCCCTAGTATAGCACGTATTTTCAAACTACCATTTAATAATGAGGTAGCAGCTCAGGTACTGCTTCTCCGTGTCTGGTACCAGTGGTGTGGCTACTAGGACTGCAGCTTCAACTGATAGCACCTTAACTCGTGATGTTTATGAAAAGATTGCTGGTTCAGCTGATTGCTTGACTGTTGTCACATTGGTAGAATTAAAACCTTTGGGTGTTTGAATTTCTCACATTAATCTGAGTATATGTAAATAATATCATATCTAGGAGGGAAGACCAGAATGTTGTGTGCCCAATTATATTAAGTTCAAATCATCAGCATGCGAATTAACTAAACTTTTAACTGTTTGTTTTTGAGTAAGGTTATAATTCAGAGAGGTTTTGTTTTTCTGGTTATATTTATTGTAGATTAGTTTTATCTCCTTGCCTTTTCAGACTTTTAGGAGCCTTGGACACCCCAAAAATTTCTGGGAATCTTGAAGAAAAAGATTTTGAGGAAAACAGCAGTATACTACTACTTAGTCTTTATTTTTATTCTATAGGATAATAATAAGCCACACTTAACCAGAACCTATTGACATAAAATTACACATTTTTTAAAATGCAGATGTGATAGGCCTGGTAATTTGCATTCCAGGCCTCCTTCAGTTTTTATTCAGTTAAGTATCTGACAGATTAAAAAGTCAGTCACTGGAAAATGGAAACGTTTGTGAGCGAAATGTTTGAAGAATTACCAGTTACTCGGTAGTTAATAGAAACATCTCAATAGAACAGTGAGGAACTTCAGTAGTCCCCAGGGCCATCAGTGTATTATACAGTGTAAGACACACACACGTAGTCACCGTTTCTAACAGTTGCCTTGAATCTCGGGTAGCATACAATTTTCTGTCATATACTATGTTTTTAGATGAGCAAATATGTAACACTTTTTATAAATTTAAAGGTCTTTAAATGGCTAAAATACATGAGGTATTCACTGTATTTTTATTTTCAATGTGCTGTAAAGCCTCATTTATAATTTGAATACTTACGTTTTTTATGTGGTATTATTTAATTAAACATAGTATAAGGAAGATTTATTATTAATATCAATGTATGAATACAAATGGTTATGGAACAGTCCATATTGTTTGCATTAATAGAGATAAATACTGAGTGTCTCATTTTAAATTATTACTTTAGAGTTTGGAGCAGAGATTATAAATAGCCAACATGTGGCTTAACTTTCTTCTGTGTTTTCTTAGAACATTTGTAAATTCTCCAGAGTAGATATTCAAATCAGTGTATTGAAAATAACTTGAGAAGTTTTAATAAAGAGAAACAAGTTATAATATTTATAACTAGTAAGATTATACTTACTTGTCATAACTTTTGTAATTTATGATTTATTTTAGAATGAGAAAATATTTACTATTATCCAATGATACAGTTAGTATTTCTATAATACTGTTTTTTATCATAAGGGTAATTAACAGAGATAGTTATATTGCTAAAAATTTGAGGTTTAAAGTGTTTCTGAGTATATAAAAAATAGATTACCTGCCACTTTGTTTCCAAAACACTTCTAGCTAAAGGATAAAGAAAATGAATAAAAATTGGATTTTTAAAAGTAACTTAGGGTTTTGAATTTACCAATATAAAACAACATGTTAGATTTAAGCTATTTTTAAATCTATACCAGACCCATATCAATCTTGGCATCTTTTACTTTAAAACCAGGATTCTTAGGAGAATGTTTTGCTCTTTGTATTTGTTCAAATCTGTAATTATTTTTGGAGTAGAAAAGACCCATTGATACAAGTCAGGATGAGTAGTTTTAGTTGTTCTTATTATTTATAGGAGGACCTACTGCATAATTTGAGGAATTCCTGCTTAGTGAGGTATCTAAAAATCAGACCTCATCTGGGAGGGATGGAGGACTTCTCTGTTTTACTGCACTGCTGTAAAAACACGTATTGTGGGTTATTTATAGAGAAGTCCTCATAGAATCAGGAAATATTACGGACTTTTTACATGACATACATAACAGTGGTTATGTATTGTGGGCAGTATTGCTGATATTCAGTTTGTATGCTTTTTTCCTAACAGTGAAACAGTAAGTAAAAATACATTGGAGGATAGTAGATGTTTCTAATGCCAGTTTATCAGGATAACTACTTAAAGCATGTTTAATTAGAAAAAAAAGAATGTTAACCAGAAAAAAAGAAAGAAAAAAAATCACATTATTAAAAAGATTTTTTTCCCAGTAGATTATAGTTTAGAAATACTGAGTGAATGGCTTATACTATTCTATTAAGATTAGTTTTTAAGATTTTTCTTTGGGTAATATCAAAATATACTGTCCAATTAATATTAGCTGTTTCTGCTTTTCAGTATTATCCCCTTTTTTATCATCCTTTCTAGAATTATAAACCCAATTATTAAGATATCTCTGCTATTGACAAGTCATATTTATTAGCTTTTTCTGCATTAATTCAAGTCATTACATTTAGTGCTTACATTAATTTAAGTGTGTGTTATTTTTTAATAACAATTTTTTAACTTTCATGCTTTAAATATATTAATGGTTTAAAGGTAGAAATAACTAATGTGCTATTAATTGCTTGGCTCCCATTTTGAACCATTGCCAGTTAATTATTAAAATGCACTTGAGGCCATCTCTGAAACCTGGCAGTAGTCACTGAGTATTGTGAAAGTATACGACAATTAATTGCTTTTTAGTGGCTAGAATAAGCCATTAATTAGAAATGCACTGGTAAACATTTAATTAAAAGTGAAATTAATAACATCTTCAAAATCACAATCCTATAAATGATAAAGAAAATGTAAATGGCATCATATTTTTGTTATTCTTACTGATAAACCTCTTTTAAGATATGTTCTCAATATATATGTTAGTTTTCCAGAAAGGAAATAAAATATAATTTATTAAATGGATTAACTATTAGCTTCTAGGAGAATCCTCTAAAGTTTGATATTCAAAACTTTATTTGACATAAGTTTATTCATCTTTACCAAACTTTTTTCCTTGAATTTATAAGAAACGTGCTACTGGAACATAAAATGGTAGTTTTTCCACTTCACTGATATATTCATGTGTTTTTTAAAAAAAATCAGAGTATCATTATAAATGGCATAGTTTAACTTTTTAACATGCTCAGTTAATGCCATATCAAAGTCATTATCCAATATTTTTACTTACTTTAATTTTTTTTAATTTACAAACCTAATTTGATTTTATTTACTATCTGGAATTTATTTTTACTTTAAGAGCATAGAGCTCCAAAAAGCTAGTATGATAATTTTCATTATTCTATTTCAGCAATTTTAAACCTTTTTTAATCTCATGATGCATATAAACTAATTACTAAAATTCTGTGGCACACAAAAAAACCCCACATTTTTTGCCGATCTGACCAAAAAAATGATATAATTTTGATTTACTCACACCAGATGGCTATTGTTGTCTTGGCTGTTGTCATTTTTTTAATTTGACAGCCTAAGGGAAAAGAGGTCAGCGTCCCTGACCAGTCTCAGGTATTACATGTTTTAAAAATTCTTGCTGCAGACCAGCTAACAAGGGCTGTTCTGTTTTATTACAATGTGGTATTGGGTTATTTTTTTTTAATTTAAATGTTTTTTTCTCCTTTGAATAACCAGTTTTTACCTCATTCAGCTAAGAAATTCATTTTAAAATCTATTCTCATTTTAATTGTTTTATTTTCATTGATGAGTAAAAACTTGCTAGGAGAAAAAGACTCATAAATGACAAGAATTCTTGAGAGAAGCCAAGAGATACATGTTAAAAAGCCTCAAGAGTTCTTTATGAGTCACCAATTTGTGTAATTATGGATTAAACTGTGATAGTGTATTTTTTTTTTCCCCTTTGCCCAGTATCACATTGTTATAATGTCACATTTTC